AATTATTATGTACAACAAATTGTGATGAAAATCACCCCAAAACTCCCACCGCGGGCATGGTACTTTCGGTGTGGCATGGCTCAAAAACCAAATTTGATAACGCACTATATTTGCGTAGTGGTACGACAATCATTGTAGCATAGTGTTTGGAAACTAGAATGGGTTGCTGTAATTTATTTGTTACCTCAACTTATTACTTACATACTTACATTCTATTACACAATTGAACTCTAACTAGTCTGTAACTCAATAGTTTAGTGAACATAAATCAAATGTATGCAACAGCCAAGGGAGAACAGTTTACTCACACCCGCAAGGAAGGGATGAAGAGATTAGGTCAGGAATGGAAGAGTACAGTCAAGACAAGCATTTTGCACGACGCACTCGCTGGCGTCCCAGGCACGGGGGAGCAGCTTACCTACGCCCGCGCGTAACATGCAGACAAGGTCGTATGCGCGCGAAATACGTTGGCAGCACTGGCTGTAAATCAGCTGTTGTACAGTTGTATCATTTAATGTCATATTAAAAGTTCACTTATGTGTAAAAATATGTTACGTTTCTTTACCAATTTATTTATTTTATGGTAACTGTAGGAAATAGTTATTTGTGTAACTAGTGAGCAAAGTGGCACTTTGCTGCACACAAGAGCAATGTTTACAAACGAGCAGCAGGCGAGTGCGGAATGTATCTCGAGTGCAGCAAAGGACATTTGCGCTCGTGTTACACATTAAATTTTTCCTACAGTCACTATAAAGCATAAAAAATAGTTATTTGTGCAACTAGTGAGCAAAGTGAGCAATTGCCTCCCTCGAGAAACCATTCCTCACTCGCCTACGGCTCGTGAGTAAGTATTTCTCTAGAGTTTGAGGATGATGTTGAGTAATTAATTAATTATAAGCTATCACATTTTTTACTATCTTACGAAGATATTTGGGGACACTTTAAGGAAATGCCAACAGTAGTATGACACATTTTGCATTATGTTTTTTGTAGATTATTAATGCAACTGTATTTTGTAATTGGGTCTAGACCTGTTTTGTAGAATTGTATTAAAATAAATAAATAAATACATATACAGAGTGAGGCAATGAGAACACCCCGATTTTCTTTTGTTGTCACATAAGCAAAGCAACAACGAATGAACAGCTGTGCTTATACCATCAATTAAACTATGCTGTTTTAGTAAACATTGTACCTGAGGCTTTAACGATGAGATTTTAATATAGGAACCTCTTTTTTAAATAGCGATTCGTGTGCAAACCCCAGAGATTGGTTGGGCCACATTCCATACTTGGTCTATATGGCGCTGATCCAGATCGGAAAAGGATATGGAACTAGGTAACATTATTTAGGATAAAAGCTTAAACCTTAAAAATAATCGGTGGGTTCCGTAAAACTCTTTTTACTCCAGAAAATGTTGATAGAGTGTGAGTCGCAGTAACTCGAAGTTCAAAGAAGTTTGTCAGGAAGCTATCGTTGTTAAAAGCTTTACGTTGGCTCTTTTTAGGGGTTATTTCGATAAGCTACTTGAAGTTAACAGTTTTTAAAAGTCGCCCCACAGATTTGCTTGAATCGAAGCTAAGAATTGTCCAAGAAACTAAAGTGATTCCTGAAGAAATGCTGGAAGGATTATTCGATAGAATTTTCAAGTGACTAAAAAGGAATGTCAAGTAGGATAAGGACGTCACTTAAAGTTACCTTTTTGTTTTGTGTTGCCTTGAATTCTTGATGTTTTCGTTTCCTGATGCGCATTTCGCCACAGGTTGTGGCATCATCAGAGGCCTCTATGCTACGCTTCCATCCTAATATATACAAAGTTTATGTACACGAGAGTCACTGTCATGCCCCCAGTACACTCTCGCCGAGACGCTCTCCGAGGCGCCTCGCCGATTAATTCGGGTGAGAGCTTATGCGAGGTAACCGTGTACACTCTTGCATTTTCTCGCAGTCGAAATGGAACAAACTTCGACGTGGAAGTAGCACTCACCACTCGTGCAGTCTCGGGTCCTTTGACTCGTGTCAAAAAACCGACTCCAGATGGAGCGCCGGCGAGCACGAGGCATGACGAGGCGAGGCGACCCGAGTCAAGACAAGAGAAGACGAGCGCACCGAGTACACTCTCGCACTCGCCAACGCTCGCCTTGCCTCGGCGAGAGTGTACTGGGGGCATACCGTTTTTCACATCCAAGACACTGAAGTCCTAAGTAAGCCTCCCGCGCTCGCAACACGCGCCCGCCGCGCTGCGAGTGTAAACAGTGCGATGTGACAACCGGTACAGTGACTCTCGTGTACATCAACTTTGTCCGTTAGTACAATAACTCGAGCAAAAATGATCCGATTTTGATGAAATTTGTTATAAACGTGTAACCCTACATTAATTCGAACAAGTTTGCGAACCAGCATGATCGGACTATGGGAACGGGTGTGGGGGGGATTATGGGGTAAAAATTGGGTTTCTCCATTTTTGACCCCAAAAACGTAAAATTTAGCAAATTCTTTCCAAGCCATTTTGTAGAGCTTAAGAAACAAATAATTTAGTAATTGAATCGTTACTATGTGCCTAATCGTTACCGAGAAAATTCCAAAATAATGTTTCAAATTGTACAACATTTAAAATTCTCATGTTATTCTTATGGAAAATAAGTAAACTGGTGTAGTTTGCTTGTTAGGAACACAATGTTAACCAAATTTGGAAAATGCATTTATTTCATACTAAACTATTAACATTTTACAAACAAAAAAATTTTACCCTCCCTGTTGCAGCAAACCTAAGTACTTGTAAAACTGATGCTATTTAAATACAGTAGGGGAAAAATGTGATATTTTTAAGGAGACAATTTAATATAAATCCAATCAGGCAAATGGAAATTCGCTTAGTCTGCAGATTTGCTGCGGAGAAGGTATTTTTATACATTGCGATTATTAGTGGCTGTGTTTTGTGTACATATCTGCTTAAATGAAACTAGAGGCCATATTTTAAACCTCACAACTTGACTTTTGTTTTAAAAATCAACTATAAGTGTGGTATTTTTTTCTATTACAGATGGTAATTGAGAGTGACAATTATTTAAGTGTCTTCAACTATGGAACGGGTAAAGTTACACCTGGGGCCCATTTTATAATAAAGTACAAACTAATATTATTAGTAAATCAGATGATCGCCCAATGCAAATCTAATGGAAACTACAAGTTACAAGTTGTAACTTGTAACTTGTAGTTTATTATGAAATGAGCCCCTGGTGACACCTACTGCAACAGTTGCCAAATAATACCAGCTTTCTGTAGTATGTTTTTGTAACTGGTTAAAACTTACTGTGAAATTTACTTAATGAGCTGCGGTAAAGAGGACTTTTAATACCGGTACTTAATTTCCTTTTTTTACTGTAATTTTACTTAATGAGTCAGGTAAAGAGGACTCACTTAATTTTAGAGAAAAACTAACACAATATCAAATATAATAGCAATGTTCAATATAAAATAATAACTATTTAAACAAGATACGTCACATGTAACACTAGGGATTGAACGAACAAATTCATCTGGGATCAAACGGGATTTTCATGATAAAAAACTGGATTTTCTAGTATTTGTTTTGGCCTTGTCCGTGTGGTAGGGATGAGCATCGATAGTCGATGTTTTCGAAACATCGATGGTTCCTATCGATGTTCGATGTTTTTTACATCGATGGTAGGTTACCGATGTTTTTGTTCACATCGATTTTTTCGTCAAACATCGATGTTTTTGGCCAAGTATTGAGATGTAGATTTTTCCGTTACTAGAGATTTCAAAAAGCAGACGAAAATCTAAAAACATCGATATTTTCGCAATGATGTTATCGGTACATCGATGGTTGATGTCGATGTTACCATCGATGGTTGACTATTGATACCGTGTGGCCGTGTGGGGAAATGGGGTTACACTGAACTACTGAACGAACAGTTCGTCTATTCGCCGCTAGGAGTCATTCATCGAAAGCAGTTCGCTAAGTCACCGAGAGGGGCGCTGCAGTCTACAGTTTGTTATTATCACACTGTAGTTTTACTTTTATATTTAAATAATTTTAATTCTATAAAGTATAAAACAAAAAAACGTGATTTGAGAAGAAATACAAACTAAATATTCAAAATATGGCAAATATCTTTCAATTTAAAGTGGTTTTAGTTAACTATACAGCCTCTGAATACGTTGACACTCGCACTGATTCTTTGGAAGCTCCAAGACTATACCACGTAAACTGCAAGTGTTGTTTAATCCTTATTCGCATTCAAAAAGTTCAATTTTTAAAAGGCCGTGATTCGTGTCCCTTACCTGGGACCGAAGAATGGCCTATAAGCTGTGCTAATAGTTCACCACTTGTGACTAGACTTAGACTACTAATCGGTTAGTAAATCCACTCTTTGCCTACTGTCACTGTCATACGTAATGCGTGAATTCGAATTCTACTAAATGAATGAACTGCAGGCAAAGAGGACTTGCTAAATTCTAAGTGTAATTTGTTTCTCTTGAAGTCTGAAGTGTCATTAATAACAATAAGTAAGTGTGCTTTTTGTCAAATCACACCACCCTAAGCTGTAAGGCCCGTTTTAATTAATAATCAAAATCGAATATTATTATTATTATTAATATTTTCTAAAAAGTGAAAGCATTTACAAGTAAGCGTATATCTTTATATAATACAGGTCCAGATACTATATTTTCATAGGAGCACAATATTTTCCCGGGACCAATTTACTTTTTGAAAATCCCAAACATGTAAACTTAATTACTAAATAACGGAAATTTTATGAGAAAAAGGTCAAAAACACTTTTATTTTATTTAGCTTATCGAAATTTCTATCAATCGACCTTAAGATTAGACATAGAATTGATAGTTAAAAATAAAGATTTTATCTGTACCATCCAGGTAGCAGGTACAACACCGATATCTTGTTCTCAATTCATTGAATTCTACGTATTTTTAGCTTAAACCATTTCTAACAAATTCCTCATTTTTGTTCCAGTGTTTGCCTACGTATGTTCTAAGCCTACAACAAAGCCTACAATCCTACACAGGGTAAGTTGAAGTTCAATTGTTTGTTCAGAGGTAGCTTTTGCCAACTCATCAGGGCGCGTATTTTAAAGGGGGCGGGGGTAAACATGAAAGTTGAATGAATGAGGTTACATCTCTGTTACTGTCTACAGCTGGCTCTTTAGTCAGTAACATTTAATTAAAAGCCCCCTGATCAAGGACAGCTGCGTTTCGAACCCTTAACAATTTAGGCTTTTATCAGAATTGAACCTCTAACCTTGTAACTTCCAGGTGAGCACATAAACAGCTCAGATATACAACCATTAGAATCATATAACTTTAACAAATTTTAATAAGTCTTTGTGCAAAAAATGCTCTCCTCTCCACACACTCTTCAACTGCTTGCAAAATTTATTTGATTGAATATGCTTGTTGAAATGACTGTAAACTAATTAAATACCCCCGCCGCAGCAAACCTGCAGACTAAGCGAATTTCCATTTGCCTGATTGGATTTACACTAAAATGTCTCCTTAAAAATATCACATTTATTCCCTATTTAAATAGAATCAGTTTAACACATACTTAGGTTTGCTGCAACAGGGAGGGTAAAAGTGTTTTTTTTTTATGTAAAATGTTAATAGTTAGTAAGAAATAAAAACATTTTCCAAATTTGGGCAAAAAATGTTAATAAACAAGCAAACTACAACAGTTTACTTATTCTCCATAAGAATAACATGGGAATTTTAAATTTAAAATTTTTTGAAATTTTCTCCGTAACTATTAGGTGCATTATAACGCTTCAATATACTAAATTATTTGTTTTTTTAAGCTCTACAAAATAGTTTGGAAAGAAATTGCAAAATTTTATGTTTTTTGAGTCAAAAGTGGGAAAACCCCATTTTTACCCCATAAAACCCCCCATAAACCCCTGTTCCCATGGTCCAATCATGCTGGTTCGCGAACTCGTTCGAATAAACGTAGGTTTACACGTTTGTACCAAATTTCATTAAAATCGGATCATTTTTGCTCGAGTTATCGCGCTAACGGACACATATATAAATATATATATATGAATTTGAACGGATGGTGTTTTTGGCCTCCAGGGACCTCAAAACAAACAAAAAAAAAATTGGTCCCGGGGCCAGGTCTTACCATGAGTACTACGGTAATAGCTTATTCCCTTTATGGGAAATTCGCTAAAAGAAAACACTATAAGTTGACTCCCGTCAAACAATTGATCTTGAAATTAGGGAGGCAATATATTTTACGGTCCAAAGTCTAATTACATTGTGGACAGATTTTGGGTTCCCTCAGAGAAAAGAGAAAAGATTAATTATCTACATCACTATGTAAAAGTTTCCCACAATTTTTTTATTTTTAACCACCAGATTGTATTTTTAAGTTGATTTGATTGTCATTCAAAAGTGCCATCTCAGGCTGAGATAAATTAAACTGTAATGGGTAAAATAAATTGTATATGAATAGAAATCATTGGACTAACTGATAAAAAAAACCCAAAGGAATATTTCCTTCCATATCAAATCGATATATGAATAAGTTCCATTATTGATTAAGAAATGTAGAGTAGAACCTGATAATAGAAAAATACCCTCCAGGTTAATTAGTAGACTGTATTTGTGTAAGAAAATGAGTTCCAAGCTAACACTTAAAACATGTTGAGGTGCCTCTGAAGATTAATGGTTTTAATTTATTAGAACTAAGTTTTGTATTTAAAATTTAGAAATTCAAAGTTGAAAACCTTGGCCGAAAATGTTTATTTAGTCTCAGTCACAGAATCTTGTTAAACTTCTGTGAACAGAGGGCCAAGAGCATAGCCTGGTTAGGTTATACCCAGGTCAAAGACAGATGTCAAGGATTTCAACAGGAATGGATATGTTAGGTTAGTCTTCAGAGGACCTAGCCGAGTACAAGGAAAGGTCAAGGAAAGTACCCTGGAAGACTATGACGTATGTCTTTGTTAAGTCTTGTATCTTGATTTATCAAATTTACCATAGCTATCGTAGGTGGCACGGTAATACCTGGACACGGGGCGGATATACTTTTTCATTTTATGTCCCTGGAGACCAAAAACACCATTTGTTCACATTGTTATATACGTCCGTGAACGCGATAGCTTGAGTAATTTTTGTCGGATTTTGATTAAATTTGGCTTGAAAATGTAAGGCAGGATAAACTTGAATGAGTTTGCGAACCAGCATGATCGGACCATGGAAACAGAGCTTTGTGGGGGGTTTTATGGGAAAAAATTGGTTTTATAATTTTCCCCCACCTTAAAACACAAGATTTCCCAATTCCTCTTCAACCCATTTTAAAGAGCTTAAAAAAATAATAATTTAATATCCGTACAAAAAATGTTAAATTTAAAATTCCAACGTTATTCTTATGGAGAATAAGTAAACTGTTGTAGTTTGGCTATTTCTGGACATATGTTTATCAAACCTGGCCAGTTTCTTTATTTTATACTAAGCTATTAATGTTTTACAAAAAAAACACACTTTATTTACCCCCCCCCCTGTAGCAGCATAGGTACTAGTAAAACATAATGCTATTTAAATATATTTAAGTTGGAGTAAAATGGAAAATCGCTTAACCTGCAGGTTTGCTGCGACGGGGGTATTTTGGTTTAGTCTTGGGTTGTTAAATATGACATGTTTACATCATCTAAAAAGAGGTATTTCGGACATTTTCCATCATGATTAAGTTTTCACGTGTTGGGATCTGGAATCTGATTCTGTCCTCAGATAGGAAAGTATCAATACATTACATAGAATTGTACACATGGGCTAATCTGTGTACTTAATACAATAAGGGTTTCACTGTAGCATCCCTTTTCCAGCCGTCCCACTTAGATTTTTGCGATTGTGGTGTCACTTTGCGATCTACCACACCTGCGGTTGGTAATTAAAGACGTTATATCCTTTAAGGACTTCACTCCCTATAGTTTTATTTGTTTCCAGAGTTTACATTCGACTACCCAATGATGTTGATTAACTTTCTTTATAATGGTGTAAATGTAAGTTGTAATTTAACAGCTGATAATTCAGTTGAATGTTTAACCACAGTCAGATTTTAAACAAGAGACAAAACAGATTATGAAAACGGATTTTGAATAGGCTACGTTTTTGATAATTGTATTCTGATTGAGGTAAGTAAATCACTCGTTATGGTATACACCTAAAATTAACAAATTATTTTTTTAATTAGTAGTTTTATTCACCTAATCATTTTTAACGATCATAATGTTCATAACATTATTCAACATACCGGTAACACATGTTCGTTTTGCCTCGGAAAAGTTTGAAATCGTACTCAAAAGCACAATTTGCGTGTTTTTATGTACTGTTCTGTAAGTGGTGGTTATTGTGTTTTTCCAGCTTCTACTGGGTTTGTGTAATAGTTCTTGTAATGTTTTGACATTTTCTTACCTGAGGTTGGGTTCAGATTCCAAATCCCACAAACACAGTGACAAAACTATCATTTTAGAAACTTATTCCAAAGAGAGGATTATCAGGGTACGACAATTGTACATATATTTTATTTCTTAAATATAGTAAAAATACATTGTACAAATAACTTCTCCTTATAAAACTGCATGGTGCAGACTAAGCAAATTTCCAGCTGTCTGATTCAATTGGCACAGAAATATTTCCTTGAAAATATCTGATTTTATTCCCCATTTAAATAACATTAGGTTTAAGATTGCTGCTATGGGGAAGGTTTTTTAATGAATTTTTAATACTGTAGCTTCGTATGAAATAATTAATAAATTTGCCAAATTCGATCAAAATATATGCATAAACAAGCGAACAACTAGTTATATGTACGTCTCCACATAAAAAAAAAGTTGAGACATAATATTATAAGGAGTCATGAGTGTATTTTTGTAAAAAAAAAAAAAGAAAACACACAAACAGACAAACATATGCTAAATGGTCCAAGATAGGACCCTTGTTTATGCACCCTTTTTGCTTATTTTAACCCAAAGAATCACTACGTAAATTGTGTTCCCACCTTTTTTGAACACCCTGTATATTTTTATATCTTAGCTTGTTCTATATTTTTTTTTTAAATCAGCAGTTAAATTGGTGCATAATTGTAAACCTTGAAATGCACTTGGTTTGAAGTAATTTTTGTAGCAAAATCAAAACTATGGCCAGATTTAATTTTAATTGTGTTACAAATTACACATATTTAATGGTTTCACAACAAATTGAAATGAATGTTATTAGGTGCTGTCATTAATAAATTTATTTTTAGATTCTACCAAAAATCCCTTATGCTTCACTAACAAAGTTGATAGTCTCTGTTGAGTCTTCATTTATTCATGAGCTTTCTCTGTTTTATAATTCACTCTTCATGTTACTGGTGCTAATAAATTCTGCAATGAGAAATTATGAGCTAGTCATGGGACTTTGCCAATGCTGAGTGAATTACTTGTGAGCCTACTACAAGAACAGAATATTTTATCCAAATGTCAAGATTGTAGTACAAAACTTGATTACATGACATACATTTTGGTAGAACTGACTCTACACTGAGAATGAATTATAAAGTTTGGATATTTTGATGACATAATTAGCAAACATTGAAACAAACTTTCCACCGCTTTAATTTTTGTGTGTTATCATTGTCTCCCACAATCGCAAAAAATACATTAAAAGGTTTCGGCCGTGTAGACATTGTCGTCGTCTTCCGCAATCAGGGCCGGACTTAGGACTTCAGGGGCCCCGGGCAAATTTTCCAATGGGGCCCTAGGATTTCCATGTGGGGGGCCTCCGGGGGGACTGGGGGGTATGGAATACCCCCCAAGCCAAAGGGGGGTTCGGGGGTCCTCCCCCGGGAAAAATTTCTAAACTTAGGCTTCAAATTGAGCAATTTAGGGCCAAATAAGCAATAAGTTCTATATCAAAAATCGTTCTTAAAACATAACTATTTTAACATATTTTTATATACAGCATCTTTTAATTTTATACACAAAAAATAAAAATGTTTGAAACCTAATCTCTTGCATTCACTATTTAAACAAACTCTGACCAAATGTTTCAATTGCTTTGTAGTACCAGTGACGGCATATTTGGTATGGTAGCATGGTAGGCTACCATAATATATTTGGAATAGAAGCATTGATATATTTTTGTTTATTACGTATTTAAATTATCGATTATTGCCGTCGATTTGTATGATTTTTCAATATTACTACAATATAGGTGTGATTTTTTTTTCATAATGGTTTTGGTACCTATGACCGTGTGCTCCCACTATCTCCGCGTTCCGCCATCTCCGAACCCAAATCTGTCCCGCCACCTCCGAATTCTTGAGTGACCCTTATAATCCCGTCACTGCCTGCGCTGTTAGCTGTCATTGCATTCACGGCTGCGAAGCCCCGTGGATGGAAGATTTAATGAAAATTTAACCCGTGGGTTAGGTTAGGTTAGGTCAGGTTTTAAAGTTAAGTTAGGATAGGTTAGGTTTGGACGGAAAGTCTTAACGCAGGAAGTAACCGAGGATTATAGGGGTCACTCTGAAATTCGGAGGTAGCGGTACACGGAGATGGCGGGACGCGTAGATAGCGGGAGGTAACCCCTATGACATTCTCGTTTTTATAATAATATGTTAAAGTCCTAGCATGAAAAGTACCATTGAGGACTTTCAAGTTTGAGTTTTTTATTGACGAGCAAAATCTTGCAATGTCTAATAAACACTCACAAGCAAATATATTTATATAAGTAACTGAAAGAAGTCTAAATGGATCCAATATCGATTAATACAACACAAACATAGCATTGAATACAACATTACTCACTTCAGCTTTGTTTGTGTACTGTTAGTTTGCAGAATTACAATAAAATAACTCAAAAGTAAGACAATTTCAACCAACTTGACGTGACCACTAGTCAGTCTCAAAGGACAAACTTTGGGAGTAAAGTGATTTAAATTGTTTTGGATAGGCGATAAGGCATTTTATGTGTGTGTATGCGCGTGCGTGAGACAGACAGGACTAGACAGGATCCCTTATCAGCTCATTATCATTGATTGTTGCAGCTGCTTCTGCTTATCGCTTGTTTACGATTTCAGTAGACAACGCTCGCCCACTCCCAATAAATGTAACTTTTTGTTAACATAAGTCGACTCTAGTTGTTTTAAAGTGTCTATATAGATTTAAAAAATCTTACTGGCGCAGTATGATTTTGACTCCAAAGACTAAATTGGAGGTCAACATTTCGACGCATAACTTAAATAATTACTACTTTACATTGAACGGATAATATACTTCTACCCCTTAAAATCCTGATTGGTATATACTTAGAGGTAAAAGAAAAGAATAACATTTAATAAAACATAAACGGAGCAATGTTTTTATTTTTTAAGTATTTGAACTCCAGTGAATCTCCATTTAACACAACAAAAATTACGTTCTACGTTGGGACAAGAGTTTTCATATTTATTGTATTTTTGCCCCAAGCGCGGGGCCCCCTTCAACTCATTCGCCGCGGCCGTACGTTCGGGCGAGCGGCTTCATTGAAACTGAAACTTGTCTATCACAGCCTAGCACACATGCTCGTGTAAACCAGGCCTAAGCGTGGGGCCCAGTGCAACTCTGAGGAAAAGTCCCTTAGGATCAAGAATTTCGCTCCTAGGAATGCCTTAAAATGTACCTAACAATAACCTTAAATATAGGATAACAAAAATAAAAATAAAGCTGTTACAAAAGAAGGCCATTTGGTAAGTGTCTGATCAATTTTCGAAGTTATTAATAAAAACTACTGTGCAAGGGGGCCCCTGTCGGGGCCCCCCTTGGCCCGGGGGCCCCGGGCGATCGCCCCTTTCGCCCATAGGTAAGTCCGGCCCTGTCCGCAATCTCAGCAATGGAGCATAGGACCTGTCCGTGGGACGAGTTCCATTACCAAAGTTGAAATTAAATATAAAAACACAACTAAAATTAAACAAGATATTATGTATAACTAAACTAAGGGACAGTTACAGCCCAAGAACAGTTCTTACTAAGCAATAAGTAGACGAGTGAATGTAGTTGCACCGTTATTCTGTACGTTAAATATAGTTTGGTGAATTTGTGAAGAAATGCACTAGTTAAGTATTGTACTGTACCAGTGGTGGTCCCAGGGGGGGGATATATCCCCCCGAAATATTTTATATTTTATTAGCTAAGATAAATACATTAGGTTGAGCATATTTTAGAGCTCAAATATTTATAAAAATACGTTTTTAGGCTTTAAATTTCACATTTCTTTCCCCGGACCCCCTTTTTACTGAGAGAGATTCCATATCCCCGAGACCCCCCGGTTGGTCCTCCCCCCCCCCAAAATGAAATTCTGGGATTGCCACTGTGTACACTGCAAGAGACACAATATCTATGACTGGATTATCTGTGACTGGATAAGAGTCTCAGGCTGATCGAGCCCATAATCTCCGTAAGCCAACCACTGTTTGTTAACTGGAAGAGATACCTGTAGAGCCAGTTTTGGAGTTAGGAAGAGATACGCCATCGTCGTCTTGTGTGTGGCAAATTCATTAACACTTTTCAGTCGTGTAGACATTATCGTCGTCTTCCGCAATAGCGTCAAAATTCTGATTATCTCCTGCAGCCGTGTAGACATCATTGTCATCTCCTGCTGTCACGGAAATGTCATTGTCCTCTTGCGCGATTGCGGCAATTTTTCGAACGCGCAATCTTCACTGACATGTCCGGTATCGGTATCAGTATAGACTTTTGACGTTTGATTCTTGATACCGATTTTAATGTCCGCAGAGTTTCGGTGGTGTCGAGAATCAATATCGTAGAGAATCGTCTCATCCCTAGGTTTTCATGTTAGGTGACCTTTCTGATTTTATGAAAATGCTGCGGTTGATTTAGATAATGAATACTTGCTGTATTGTAAAACACACCAAACTCTTAGAACATTCTGTCTCTATTTGCAATTCTGTTCCAGGCCAAGAGATGGGAGGAGTTTGCCAACTTAACATTCACATTCGACTGTACAGAGCGAGCAGTTGGATTCTATGCAGACCAAGAACACCACTGTCAGATATTCCACATGTGTGATGAAGATGGCCGCCGCATTCCTTACATATGTGCCAACGACACGTCCTTCAACCAACAATACCGAATCTGTGATTGGGACTACAATGTAAATTGTGCAGAAGCACAAAACTGGTAAGATCTTGGCTTTTATGAGCTGATGGTTCAGTAGGCAAATGGAAACCATATGGTAATGATAAAAATATATAGTTGCATAGATATGCATAAATATGTCGAGTATGTATAGATTGTGTCAGTTAGAATTTAGGAGGGATGAGGGATGGCTCCCAACAACACTGAGAGTCACACCACTAGACACTAAAGGTATTAAATCCTATACTCTAATACGAGCAAAGTCTGTTTGTCTGTGTCTGTAATATATATCTCGAAATCGAAATCCAGGGGAAGGATTTTGACTAAATTTTTAGGGATTTACAGCCTTAAAAACTGGATTTACGGCAGCCACTACTTCAGGAAAATTTGTATTTCGCTACACAGCTCATTTGAATATTTAAAAATTTAACATTGGCCTTATGGGTTACCAAGTTACTATGTTGGTTGGACAAAATAACAAGTAAAAAGTAAACAAAAGCCTTGTAACATATGTTTCTAGCAAATTATAAAATACAGTACAAAGTGATAAACATCAGGTGTAACGATTGAGCAAAGATTACTCTGAAGATTACTCGATATAGGGGAATATAGAGCAAGTCAGTGTTGATGAGTGATGAGTGTTTCGTGTTGGTGCCACTAGAGTGCACTGGTGTCAACTCAATGTTTCACTCTTATTTATGGGTAGATTTTACAATTTTTATGTATTCTTTTTTAATAGTTTACAGTAGACTCCCTCTTATCCGGACACCTTTTAACCGGACATTGGTTTAACCGGACTACACTCTGCGGAAATGACATCTCTTTAACCGGGCAATTTTGATCAACACATTGGTTTAACCGGACTAGATCGGCAGGAAGTGGGCAGTAATGAAACAACTGTTCTCGTGGGAAAGATTTGAGACCAGTGATCACTTGTCTAAATACAACAGGGCGTCCAGGCGTCCACAGAAAATTTGTAATTGATTTCCATGACTATCCATGACCATTTACCATTGATTTCCATTACTCACAAACTTAACTCGAAAATTATAATGTAACATACACACACAAAATACTGCCTAGACAAGTTATTTCAGAGAAAATACTGAAATATGTATTAGCAGATAACAATGGAGTAATACATTTTGTAAAAATATGGTATTCAAAATACAGAAGGAAAAAGAAAACCCAGTCTACTCCGTCCCCATAGCTGGCCAAGTTCACTCTCCACTTTCTTTTTTCCTTACTGTATACTTTTTATTATTCATTTTTTATTGAGTTTACAGTGTTTCCAAAAATTAGCTTAACGAAAAATACATAACTTAAGACAAATAAAAACATTATAACAATATTTGTATTGCAATTTGAGTTGTAATATTGAAGTTGTAACATTTTAATATACTGTACCTACACTACTGTTGGAACAATATCCTACAAATATTAAATTAAATTATAAGATAAAGTAGGTACACTGATTGTATTGAACTATTACAAACTCGAAACTCTCATCAACTAATACAAACACTTAAATAAATTGAAGTGTTGTGAATTTATGAAAAATACTGAAAAAAGCTACAATAGGTTGCAGCTGACTAGAGTATTAAGTCTCGTCAAACCCATCCATCATTAGGAATTTCCATGACTTTTGCCTATTTCCATGACTTTCAATGACCAGAATTTTTTTCCATGACTTTCCCTGACTATCCCTGACTTTCCAGAATGTGGACACCCTGTACAATGCTTTCCTAAATTTAAGTCGAATATCACAGTAAAAAGTCTGTTTTAATGGACGTCGGTTTAACCGGAAAACATGTTATCCGGACTGGCCTCGGTCCCGAGGTGTCCGGATAAGAGGGAGTCTACTGTAGATAATTTGGATAGCTGTATTCATAATAAATTGAAATTCCACTGGAACTTAAACAGTAAAAGCCAAAATTAATTGTAAAAAACGTGAGTTTCCTTTATATTGCTGTTACCACTGAAATAAACTAAAGCGAGCCATGGCTTGGTCCCTCGGTACTTAATACAACAGAAAGTAATTAATTGTTGAAATGACTGTGCAAGATAACAAGAGCGGAGGCGGGGAAGGGTTCTTGTGAGCATCCTGCTGTCACTTTCATTGACACGATCTATACCACCATCACTAAATGGATCAGTATGGTTTATTTTCAAATTTTACTGTCTGCCTCTGGCTATACTTAGCAAATTTCTTATAGGCTGAGGTTTAGTTGAGAAGGATGATGACAGTTGTCTAAATACATATTTGAAGAAATCTTTATAAAGCTTAGAGAGATGTTTTACTTTTTTACCCTAGCTTTAGTCCAAGAGAAAAAAAATACTAAACACTATATACAGTCTTAATGTTAAAGCCCATGAAGTGAAAAAAAACAGAAACAATAAATATTTTATATAACCTAATGAGTAAAAATAGCATATCAATTTTGCAAATCTTAACATGTCATTTGAAAGGTTATAGTGTCATGGTTATTATACAAACCAGTCCTGGATATTAGCATTGGACATTGCCTTGAAAGTTCAAGAGTCAAGAGGTCTCTTCTCAACCAGTGACAACTTGGGAAAATTATTACAACAGGATACAAATTAGTACTAAGCTTAAATTAATCAGCAATGCTTATTGAGCACCCTTAATCACAACCACATCTACCTCTGCTTAATTATATGCTATAGTGCATGATGTCCATTGAAAGGTTATTAACAAAACGAAAACACTACAATTTACAAAACTGTTATATACAACCAGTATTTTCTAAATCACAATAGTTTTACAGAACATTAATCTTTTATCCCTGTTCATACTCATAAAATTGTCATGACTCTAATAGGTCTAGTTTTTATTTGTTATTTTATTGCACAAGAAAAAAGCAGATCCTATCTACCATTATCTGGTAAATTAATCTATCACTGATAAGTATGATAGCCCTTTCATAAATAGGATTAATAAATACCAGTATACCATCATAATGCAGCAAAACTCCAATTATTATACGAATCAAATGGAACCGGACTCCATTCGGATAATCAAAAATTCGGATAATTTGATTTTCATCGAAATTCAGAGTCAAAGCGTCTGTAATGATTTTGCAATCGGAAAATTTACACTTCCACCATTGCGGAGTACGATTATGATTTTCCCTGACAGCGGGAGACGATGATGGTTGATGGTGTCAACACGACCATGGGATGTTAAATAAGGGTGGGACCGTGGCAAAATGTTAATATATCCCACGTGTTGACACAAGAATGGCTTCTGCCTTCTTTAATAATGATTCTTATTTATGTGGTTTAAAATTTTTAAATTATTTCTGTAAGCAATTTGAATAATTAGCGATTCGGATAGTTGGAGTTCTGCTGTAATAAGTTTCAAAAATAACAATTAAATCCAAAGAAAGCTAAAAATGTATTCAAAAACTTAAACTAAAGAAATTAATCCAGCCATCAAAGAAAGAAACAAATTTAATGTTTCTTTATAGGTGAGTTTGTTTTGAAAGATCAATAATTTTTTGCAGAGAAGTATAACTATGTGAGAAAATATTTATTACATTCTGGGAACATGCATAGTTTCAAACTACACTGTTGGAGAATATAAATATTCTGGGAGACTCCTTATTTTACACCAGTGCTTATGTCCCGATGTATACTACAGAGACTTATTTAACAGTGGCTTCTGATTGGTCGAATCTCTTTGTATGTGAACCGCATGGGTTGCTCAAAAGTTTACTGACTAATATCTCTTTTTTTATCTAACTGACAAATGTTCTTGGAACGTCCCAATTGTGTTTGCAATGGCTTGTCTTGTAACCTTAGTTACAAAAATTACTCTTATAAGTTTATTTTACTTTTCTTAAGTTTTAAGGTTGTTTGTTTGCTTGCAGGTACTACCTGAACGAACTAACATATGTAACGGATCCACCAAAGCCCAGATCCTAGTGGCAGATCACGGGGACTTAGATTCTAAATAACAAAAATCAATAAGCTGTGTAAAAGGAACACTTTAGTGAGTTGTGTTCATTTTGAACACGTGTATATTAGTGAAGTCTCTTTCCTGTGTTCAAGACTAAGTTACCATAGAAAATATTGTAAGATTAAGTAAGTTTTGACGAGTTAAACTATGGTTGTAATCGTCTAACTTACTCATGCACACTTACTGTGCACAAGACTTAGTTACCATAGATTTTACACTATATTCAGAGGTTGAAGTAAAAGTTATATTTTGGATTTTTGTGACACGTTCAAGTCTGTAAAACAAGAGTACAATTAGTTGTTTTGGGTTTAGTTTGTCAAGATGGATAAGGTATGCCAGAAGGCAATATATTTGTTTTAATATTTGTTTTGTAAGAATAGTTTAGTTGGATGTAGCAAAACAGATAGGAAAATCACTAATAAGGGGGAGATGTTCCCTGACTATTGTAAAGGGTTAAAATAACATTGATTTGGAACGGTGTAGTAAATTACAATGATGCTTTAAAGTTTACATCTGAGAGATTCAAATAGTTGTATTAATTATTACTGTTATTGCGTTTGTAATGTTCAAATGTTATGACTCATAACTTGATAATAGGATATAACATACCTTATATTAAATTAGTTAATTATTAATTATATTAAACTGTGAAAGGTAAAAATTCCCTGGTCCTAAAATAGAGTAAATTTAAGTTATTGAGGTAATGTATTTTCAAGTTAAATATTAACTTTTAATGGAATTGTAAACAGGTAAAAAGTCTCAAGAAAAACATTAATTTGTGTCAGACTTTTAGCAGTAACAAATTGGTCCACAGTTCAAAATTAAATTTTCCAAGTTGTATTCGGAATATTGTTTTGTGTTGATGAAATGTAACATGACAAACCACAAGTCGTAAATAATACTAATCAGTTAAAAAGTAATTACAGTACATTACAATTCTTACTGATGCCAAAAGGTACTAAATTTAAATTAATGTATGTTTTACATCAGGAAATCATTGTGAATGTTAAGAATTTATTCTTGAAATAGTTGTAAATAAAATACTTTAATGTAAAGAATTACTCATAATAGTTAATTTTAAGAGTTTAATATGATTTATTAAATAAAAATCAATTAGTGAAAATTATAACACTGTACAAGCAATTATTTCCTAAACCCAATTCTGTTGAACTTAAAAGGCAGGTTAGCAATAACAAAAACATAATATATATCTGTAAAACCAATCACTTGGTTTGGTTTATTTATTCCAATATTGAATAAACAAGCTTTAAATTTCATGATTATGCAACCATGCATGATTATGTGTTTGGTCAATTCCAAAAGGCACAATTTTAGTACAGGTTTTTGGTGGATTTTTTAAATTTAATAGTAAAACCAATAAATTTTTGAATTGAAGTGGAATAAGAGTACCAATATTAGCAAAGGCTAAGAACAATATTACTATTTGGCCAAAAGATACATGTCACTATTTAAAATTACAACCTACACAAAAGTGTTCAGATTGGGAAGTTAAGATTAAGTGTGCATGTTGGGTAGTAATGAATGAAATGATTTTATCTTCAGTTTCCTTCACTCAGTTATAACTGTTGTATATCCAACAATCTGTAATCAAGTTTTGTAAAAAAAAGTTAAAGCGTAAGAATAAACAATTAATTAGGGAATTCAAACCAACACCAAGTTCATATAGCAATAAAAAATGTATTCTTTTCCAATATTCATAACAATTTAAACACTGATTAACAATATAATACAAAATGATTTATTTATAAACGATACTATACATTTTCTAAAAATAAAATCTGTATATACATAATATTTTAAAGCTAAATTTGGTTTATAACAAGATGTACGCAGCTGTACTTTTATCAAGGCAATAACTAGTAGTAGTATATGTTTCATACGATGATAATGGTACATTAGCTACTTTTGGGTTGATGAGTCTTGGTTAGATTTATCTTCTCCTGGAGGAAGATTAGTTTGACTCTGAGTCAAGTCCCTCTGGAAAAACACCTGAGCGCTGCTCAGGCTGTAGAAGAGCAGCTGGAACTCCTGTTGGCAAAATTAGGTTAAACCTACACATTCATTCATCACAAGAAAATACAATTGGTTGATAATGAGTTTGTTAAAAAGATACGAGTTTAGCTAACTTAGCTAACAAAATTAGGAGTCTAGAGGTTTATAGATACAGAAATACCTCTGCCGCAGCAAACTTACAGACTAAGCAAATTTCTATTAGCCTGATTGGATTTTTAGTAAAATATTTTCTTAAACATATTACATTTATTCCTTTAAATAACGCTAGGTTCAATGAGTACCTAGGGTTGCTGCTGCAGGGAAGATAATATAGTATGTTTTTCAGTGAAATGTAGATAGCTTAGTATGACATAAATTTGCCGAATTTGATCAAAATATATTCATAAACAAGCTATCTACAACAGTCTACTTATTCTCCACAAGATTAATATGAGAATTTTTTATTTACATTTATCGGAACTTTTTCATGGCCTTTTAGTGTTCAACAAAACTTCAATATATTATCTTATTCGTTTCTAAAGCTCTAAAAAATTGTTTCGAAAAATTGTGAAATTTTATGTTTTTTACTGTCAAAAATTGAAGGAACAAATTTTTGCCCTATAAACCTATGTCCCCATGGCTCTTTCCATTAATAGGCCTACTTGACTTAAGGAGAGACAGCAATTTTAAACTCCAAAAAGGATTCCATTTTCTGGTGTTTCAATTGCTAGTTGATTTAGTTTAAAATTTTCATTATTGTAGACAGTTTTGGGAATTAATATTAAATGTATATTTTAAATATGTCAACACAAGCACTGTTAGAACTTTAAAAGTTAGATTAAGTAGGTCACAGCTTAAAACATCCATCAAGTCACAGACGTCCAAAGGAAGAGCATTAATCTCAGATTTTGTTACCGCCTGATTATTCGACAAATCAAGACCGATAAAAACCATATCCTAAAACAATTTAATCTGTCAAACCTTTGATCAAGAATCATTGGTTTTTAGATGATAGTACAGGTCAAAAATCCTAAAATTTAACAATTTAGATTTCAATATAGGTTTCAACGTTAAATGTTGATGGGTTACCAAAATACTCAGTTTAAACAGAGGGGAAAAAAGGTTTGATAAAAGGTGATATTGTTTTTACCTGGTGGTATATCTCCAATCTCTTGGCAGTCAGATTGAGAGTCTGCTGCAGTTTCTCTTCCTCCTTAGTCAACAACTGCTTCTGCTTGGCCACACTTGCCAGCTCCGTGCTGTACTTGTCCTTGATGGACTTGAACCAGTGGAGCGACTCAAACTCAGCATTCAAGTTGAGCACACTTAACACGTATGCAATGCCTGTAGACAAAATACTATGTACTCTGAAATAGTTAGGGGGGGGGGGGTTATCAATAGAATCCAACTACTGTACTCACTATCATCAAAAACTGCTTTCAGAGTTTTTTTCATATTTCATGGTATTGTTATGGTGGATTTAATTTAATCTGCTTCAAAATAATATGCCACTTAATTAGAAAATGAGGAAAAGTAACTGACTAGATAATGAAGTTTATAATGTTTAAGTGTCACTAGGCCAAATATGACTTGGAACATGTGGAAAAATATCATTCTACATGATTTTTTTGTATTTACTAGTGACATAATGATTAGAACTAAGCATAAATAAACAATATAAATACAAACAATTGTTTATCTACGTCACTGATTGCTACAAATATTTTCCTAAACACTGAACATTTTGTTCTGTCCTAGGACACTAGGCTCTAGCCTGTGATCGTTTTTCCTCAAGGGGTTGTGGCATTATCCCTTAGATAGAATCTATTGGTAATTTTGTGAGATTTTAACCCAAACCCTCAGGGACTCAAGTCCCACACTTTACAACTAGACCAGCTCACTCAAACTGTACTAGATCAAACACTTATTATATGAATTCCTTGAAAACAGATAAACCCCAAAATCAAACAGTATTTAAAAGAAAACAGAATCATGACAAAGATACTGCCGATTATCTAGTTCTTTAATTAAGTTTTATTTAAATATATCCATAGTAAAACTAAATTTAAATTTACATCCATGCCTGGTAAAATATTGAGTCAATTAATATTTAGGTTTGGTGCTTCACTACAAAGAACACAAAAATTGTTGTTGTTAACTGCATTTTGAAAACCCAAATAGAAATTAAATAATTACATTGATTTTATAAAAGAATACTTCCAAATAAGCATTCTGCATAAATTTATTTATTGCTTTTAACTATGGCATGGGAGCCAGCATGCTGCATTTAAAACTTGTTAAACATAACAATAGAATAAAAATTTAAAATTGAGTATAGTGAATTTCTTGCATTTTAAAATTACTTGGATGAGACAAAATGCATTTAGACTTTAGAGTGACTTGGATTGGATATACAGTGGAACCTGGATAATTCGAACTTCTTTAATTCGAAATCTTCTTTAATTCGAATTTTTCCCGTGGTCCCTAGCATTTTGTATTAAAACAATGCTAAAATAACGTGGATAATTCGAATTTTATTTTGGATAATTCGAATTTTTAAGTGCCAAATCATTAAATTATTACTCTAAATATATTCAAAAATAATAAATAAAAAACATATTCCAAGCCACATTTGACGAAATGTTTGCGTTAGAACAAGTGCCAGCCCTCGCGCGCCTGCGTTTAGTCTGATGACTCATACCTCCCCTCCCGCCACCGCCCTACAGGTCATTGTACCCTACACTCCCTTCCCCTTTCTCCTCTCCCACCCACCACCACTGGCCTCTTTTCAGTGTCGCATTGTGCGTGGTCTGTATCGGTTTGCGTGAAGGCCGTTACCTAACGTAGTTTTGCTGTTGTCTTAGACTTTTAGTTTCAAGTGATTACGTGTACAGTACTGTAGTTTTAACGTACCGTACTGCACTACTGTATACATTAACTTTTAGTGAGTGTAACTGTGTAGTGATCATGGCATCAACCTCATCGAAAAAACCAGGGTCTTATAAAACTTTGACATTAGCTGAAAAAGTCGCTGTGATCAAAGAAGTGGAAAAAGGAGTCAAGAAAAAATCTGAAATCGCGAAAGACTTTGGAATTCCACCCAACACCTTATCAACTTACTTAAAAAATAAACATAAAATTCTCAGCAGTGCAGAGGAATTTGATAAAGACAGGAAACGATCGCGAGAGCCAGGAAATCCGGATGTCGACAATTGTGTGCTTAAATGGTTCAAGCAGACCAGAGACAAGAAAGTTCCTGTGAGCGGTCCTTTGATTAGAATCAAGGCTGAGCAATTTGCTAAAGAATTAGGGAAGCAAAACTTTAAAGCTAGCACTGGGTGGCTGGATGGTTTTAAGGAGCGCAATAAAATTTTGTTTAAGGCAGTGTGTGGTGAAAGTGGGGCGGTGAACCTGCAGGAAGCTAATCAGTGGAAGAACGATCTGGAAGAGATGATCCAGGACAGAGACCCGAGAAATATTTTTAACGTTGACGAAACCGGTCTTTTTTTCAAATGCACGCCCGATAAAACACTTGCATTTAAGGACGAAAAGTGCCACGGGGGGAAATTAAGCAAGGAGAGAATCACGCTATTGGTTGGTGCTAATATGGATGGTTCGCAAAAGCTGCCTTTGTTGATGATTGGAAAATCGGCCAATCCTCGTTGCTTTAAAAATGTCAAGTCTAAGCCAGTAGAATATGTAAGCAGTTCTAAGGCTTGGATGACAAGTGACCTTTTTGCGAAGTGGCTAATGAAGTTGGACAAACGGTTTGTTAAAGAAAATCGACAGGTTCTCCTTTTCATTGACAATTGCACGGCACACAACACCATACCTGTCATGGAAAATGTCAAAGTGGTTTTTTTCCCAGCCAACATGACCTCTGTTGTCCAGCCCATGGATCAAGGGATCATAAAAAACTTGAAACACTTTTACAGGGGTTTGTTGGTCGAGAATATCCTGTCCGGGGAAGGAAACGCCCTCAAAATAAAGCTGGACATTTTAGAAGCATCGCGAATGTGCAAACAAGCGTGGGACAAAGTGAAGCCGGAAACAATAAAAAACTGCTTCAAAAAGGCAGGTTTTGTTAAAACCGACGAAGAAAGCGCCGAAGAAACTGTAACGGACGAAACTCTACCAATCGACGGCTGGGAGGATGTGGCACCCAATCAAACCATCTTGTACGAGGACTTTCTTAATGTAGACGAAAATGTCGCTGTGTGCGGTGAATTAACTGACGCCGACATCGTAGCAGAAGTCCTCGACACCGAGGAACAAAATGACGATGGATCGGGGGACGAGATCGTCGGGTCACCGGCCGATGAAGAAGAAACGCCAGTACCGAATGCAGCCGACGCCATGACCTACCTGAGAGAAATTCGGCGATTTGTGGAGAGCAGAAATGATGTCGGTGATGTACAGTTTAAATCATTAGATGTTTTAGAATCATTTATCATGGCCGAGAGATTAAACTCAAAGAAACAAGCCAAAATCTCTTCTTTTTTTGTAAAACAATAAATTAGATTTGATATGTTTTTTGTTTAACAATCAGTCAATACGGTCTCCAAACTTTTAGTTCTCTTTGGCCGATATTTTTCTATTTCTGTCCTGTTGTCCTGTATAGGGCCTATTTTGCTTAATATTTTGCTTTGGACTATTGGTAATCGTGTGAAGTTTGCGTGCAGTTCAGCTATTGCTGAGGACATTTTAAGGTTAGTTAATTTTAGTTTTGTACATAATTTCGTTGTCGTTTGAGCGATTGCAAGTTATTTTTATTGTATACTATTACTGTAATAGGCATTATTCAATAAATTAATGTTCAAATAGTATCAATAAAGTTAATAGTTTGAATTTAAAACGTGTTTTTATTGTTTACGGCCCTGGTTATAAGAACTTATTTAATTCGAATTTTTGGATAATTCGAAGTTTTTAGCTGGTCCCTTGAGGTTCGAATTATCCAAGTTCCACTGTAATATTTTTTTAAATGCCAATACTTAGATTTTTGGGGTCAAACCTGTTCCTTGAAAAAAAATTCACTCTATTAGTTGGTTTGGGCTGGTTTGTAAATCCGTACAAGAAGAGGTTGGTTGAAAAATTCAATTCAATAGTCCTCAGAATCATTGAGCTTTACAAGAGTAAATATGCCTAAAAAAATTGGTTTGCTACTGAGACACTTTATATCATATTTCATAACGTATGGCTTTTAAAATACATAATGTCTTAAAATAGGATAATTTGACTTGGGACTAAATTATCATTATTACCCAAACATCTTGATTTTCATTCATGAAGAAAAGAATTTACCGCAGGGTCCCATCAGAAAACATTTTGGAAATGATAGAAAAAGTAAAAGTGTACTTAACTCAAAGAACACATTGTACAATGTACAACCCTTTCTTCAATCAGTTTAAAAATATCCTTAACATGCTCTCAGCATGGCATTGGAGAGAACAAAGCTTAAGTGAGGACAAATATACGTATTTGTGTCTGACCTAATGTTGGTAATCATGTTTAATATCCAAAGAGCAGTTACCCATTGCAAATCCGTCATCTGTAAAGGAAGCACCAACTTTACTCTTCTTGCTGATCTTTTCCTTAGCTGTTATCATGTGCTCACAAAAGTTGATCGTCAATGGAGGCACAATCATGTGGAAGTTCCATAAGTGACTGTTCTTCTTGTCTCTCAGTACAGGAGCAAATACATCAACCAATAGCTGTAACGTAACAATACGTATTTCATTGTTACATAAGATACTAATTAAAATAAAACTACTGATTGATCTTGAACTAATTTTAAACATAAGGTTATCTGATAAAAAGATAGGGCATTTGTCAGGAACTATTAAGGAAATTAACAGGAAAGCAGGCTTACTTTTAAATAAGTCTATAGAGACACATAAAACATCACAAAAGTAAAAGTGGAAATTTTCGTGGTCACTGACCACTTTTTCAACCACTCATCTGTTTTGACGAAAATTTCTTCTTTTACTTTTGTGATGTTTTATGTGTCTCTATGGGCTTATTTAAACGTAAGCCTACTTTCCTGTCAATTTCCTTAATAATTTCAACATAGGATAGGTTCAGTTTGGATCATATAAAGCAACACAGTATGGAAGATAAATAGACTTGATTAACATTGGAACTCCAGAATGTTATAGACACAACTTGAAATTACTCTTTAACACAATAGCTGCCATGTCCAGTCCATGTCACCCCTATCGGGGCGAAACCAGTTGGCTGGTCCGGTAGCACTGTCACCTATCGTAAGGGTTTTTTTCTTTGCTGCTATTTGACAGTCTTTGACAGTCACCGGCAATCAAACATTGTGCCTTAGAGAATATATTCTAAGCTAAATAGATATCGATGTTATATTACATTCTGATGTTTAAAACATGTCCAAACTTAGGTCACAAAGTACCGAAATATTGTCACCCCAGATTAGTCTGTCTGCCATTGTAATCTGTCCTTTAAAATAGTCCGTACTTTCTTCAAATCTGCTATTGAGTCAATGTTTTGTAATATTTCCATTATGTAGTTGACTAGTGAAGATATGAACAATTAAAATAGGTAATTAAATATTAAACGGTAATACATTGAAGGTAATAAGGTTTAATATCTTTTCTTTATCCACGTCGCCAATTAATAAATACAAAGCACATGTTACATACATAACTATTTATTCATAACTGAAAAGTATATATTATGATATGAAGGAAAGGAACCATTTCAGTGTATCTCTCCAAGTAGCCAAAAACAATGCTCGGCTTGAAGAACCGGCCAATGTAGAAATAGGCCTACAGGTAGATGGTGTAAAACAGAAATGCGATGCTGACATCTTGACACAAGAAAATAGAAGGAGATACAGCCAAACTCCTTCTAAAAAAACTGAACCCGGATATGACCGGGAGAAACAGCCAAACTCCTTCTAAAAAACTGACTCAAAAAGAGAGGCTTCCACCTACGACAGCAAGAATACGAGGCGACCAGGAAACTTTGGATGACTTTTTCATGAAGCATACTGGGGGAGCCAGCCAAACCCCGGCACAAAAACTTTCACAAGACCGTCCAAACCGTCACAAGACCAACCCACAAGATCTCTACATAAATCCACCCAGCCAATCTTCTCCACCACTCACCCCTACGCACAATAAAAGTCATTCCATAATAACACAAGCACAGGTCCATTTCCCAATTGAATATTCGCCACCAAAACAAAAGAGGGATGGCCAAACACACCAAAACAAGAATTTTTTAGACCTTTACCCAAGAAAAACAAGCAAACTCAAAAGATTCAAAACCAGAATCTTTGTAAACACGATGCACCCAGCACACAGGCTAACCTTCAAAGAAGACAGCAAGTTCAAATAAAATAAAATAAGTAAAAATACAAATCAACTTACCTTCTTTCACCAAAACATGGACAGGATGACAAACAAAATTGAAAGACTGGAACACCTTCTACAAAGCACTAACCCGGACTTTGTAATTCTTACAGAGGATGGACTAAAAAGTAATGTAATACACCATGCTAAATTAGCTGACTACACACTTATCAGTGCATATGGAAGGAAAGAACATAACAAAGGAGGGGTTGTTATTTACAAGCATAACAATATAACCAACAAAACCAAAATAGAGATAGAAGGATACAGCTTGGAAATAGTATGTGAAATAACAGCAATAAAAATAGACATAAACAGGAAGAAGAGCCTTTCCCTCCTTGTAGTCTATCAACCACCTTGTGCTGACCTTGATACGTCACTACAAGTTCTGTCAGATGCACTAGACAGCCTTCCTACTCAGAGAACTGACACACTTATCATGGGGGACATTAACATTGACAGTTTGGATGAGGCTTCTCGAGAATCTGTTACACTAAATTCGCTATTGGATGGGTATAACATAAGAAGACTAGAGCTCCCAGCCACAAGAATCTCAAAGACCTCAGCATCCACAGTTGATATGGTGTGTTCAAATATTCACATTAAAGTTGTGGTCTCTCACACAGGTCTATCAGACCACACAGGACAATACTGCACACTGGACCTTCCAAAAACAAAAGCAGCAACAATCACGACATCACGACGGAACCTTAACCACAACAATCTGCTGATCTTAAAAAATGAGCTCTCCACTGTAACGTGGGAACCTGTTTTGAGAACAAATGATGTGGAAGAGGCCTACTTTAACTTCAACCAAACGCTGCAGCTTGCAATTGATAATGCATGTCCAAAAAAAAAGATTTCGGACTACACAAAAAAGGGGTAAACGACTGATGTATGGTGAAGAAATTATGACACTTAAAAAGGAGTTTTTAATATTACAAGACAAATTTCTCCTAACTGGTCATCCTGATGACAAGAAGATAGCTACAGATAAAAAGAAATCTTACGTCCAAAAATTAAAAAAAGGCAAGGCAAGAAACAAGTGATGCATACATTGAACAAGCAGAAAACAAAGCCAAAGCCATATGGGATACCATCAATAGTGAGAGGAAAGAGCTTGACAACAATTCTACAATAGAATTAAATGACAATGGAATAGTATATTACGTTACTAGTCCTGAAAATAAGTGTTTACCGGACGAGTGTGGTCGTTCCCGTGCGAGACAAAGTCGAGTACGGGATTACCATACGAGTCCGGTGCACATATTTTGGACGAGTTACGTACGATAGTTTACGCCATACTACTAAATCCGTACAAATCCTTATATATTTCCACCAACTAAAGGACTAAAAATCACTAGTCATAACCTCTAAGAGAGGTTATGTTTTTGTTCATAACCACTCACTGCCAACTAAATACAGTATAATCAGCTGATTGGTGTCCGGCAAAACTCATTGCAGTACAGTAGTACGCAATGGAACCCCATTTGAATAAGCTGGCGGCAAACAGCTGTTTTCTGGACTAAATCCTTGCGTGGAAAGTTCGTCAAAATAATGTAGTGTGGCGTAAAGAAACTTACTGACCCTAAAAATGTAGCAAACCGCTTTAATTATTATTTTGTAAACATAGCTGAGGAAACATCAAAACAAAACAGCAGATACAACACACCACTCATGCAAACAGATTTATATTTTCAATCCATGGTTTTGTTCGACTGAAACAACCAACTGAACTAGTAAACAATGTTGTCCCATCACTAGCAATAACTGACCTTGAAGTATTCAGAGCCCTCAGTCAGATTTCTTCTCATGTTGGTGATGACTTGGTCTAGAGCAGCAGCAGTTTGTACACAGGTCTCTGACAATCCCTCCTCCTTAGTCAACTCCTCTAGACTGACTATGTTCTCCAAGTCAGGAATGTAGCGGATGGCGTTGGAGCAGCAATGGAGACCCCCAGACCTTATCATGCGTACGTACCCCATGGCGTTACCTAATAGAAACATGGTGTTGTTGTGTGTAGGATGAATAAATTGACTTATTTTTTAATTCAGATTAAAAGTAGTGACTTTATGATACAGTGCAATCTCGATACATAACATTTCCCGAGGGACAAATCCTGATTCTGTTGATTCTAGTATTTCCTCAAAATGAGGTTTGATAAATAAAGGTTAGAAAAGCTGAAAATTTGGCTACATCAAGGTTCGAAGACCATCTCAGTAATATTCAACCTCATCAAATCATAATGTTACATGCATACTATCATGATGAGGTTTGTCTTAGGAATGTTGTTGTTCTAATTATGCAAAATTTGTTAAATAAGGGTTGATTTATGTTTGTCCAGATTATTAAAAATGTGTGATATTGAGGTCTTACAATGTTTTCAATGTAGAGGTGAATTTTTTATTGATTCTTATGGAAAGTTTGAGAGGGTTGTAAAATATTTGTTACGTAATGGAATTCGATATACTCAGGTTTGTTACATTGAGGTTGCACTGCACATATACAACTTTTGGAAAATCTAAATCATAGGGGCCATTATGAGAACTTTTTTATAGATAATTTGGGTGATAGCTTGAGTGATAAGCGCACCTATGAACCATCAGGGAAAATCTGAGCTAGTCAACTGATGAATGGAAAATTTTGTCTTGGGGCTTCAAATGCAAACAGTAATAAAGATATTGCTCATATTACTACAGCCCTATGTACATTTGTATCAAACCCTATCCAATAAAGTGCTATTCTTTCTTTGAAAAAATCTGATTTTACTGCAAAGTGCAAAACAAACATAGTGATGTGCTGAATTTAACACTCAAAACTTACCAATTTGGGTTATTAAAATCCTGAACTGATCAAGATAGGTCAGACCATCCGGAGTGACGCCAAGACGACGGATTCCTCTATTGAACTTTTCCGCTCGCTCATAGGAATATTTTGAATCCAACTGTTCCTTGTTATCTCGGAAGAAGCAAAGGTCCTTCATCAAACGAGATTTGATATGTTCATCATAAAGAAACTGAGAGAAGGTGATCAGTTTCTTTCTTAAGAATTGGTATGTGAAGTTCACCTGCAAATTATGAATCAGATCATAATTCTGTTAGTGTAAGTAAAATTTTAATAAACTCATTCTAAAATATACAAATGAATTTAATTAGTAAAATAAGATGGGGGTTTAAAAATTTCAGTAACAATTATTAGTTCTGGGTTGTATTTAACTCCTGGATGAAAGAAAAGTTTAAGTTAAACCTGTGCAAAGGCATTCCAGATATGATTCATATTTCCTAGTATATTGTGCATAGTTTCCAAATTCACTAGGATTGTCAAATTTAAAGTAGGCCTACACTCTACACAGCAGCTTTAAGAAACAATATCGATTGATTTCTGACCAAAACCAGAATCATTATGCATTATTCTCCCTCATGAGCTAATTTAGTGAAAAAGTTAACCGCTGGTACTATGCCGTTGTTCACGTATATCTGCTATCTGGTGCTAAAAAATTACTTTTATTCTACTACATAAAGAGTGATAGCAATATTTTGGGAAGCCCTTTCCATCTTCCCGACTATGCTTTGTTAAACCAGTTTCACATCAGTGTATGCAAGTGCACTTCTAAAAATTAAATAGGTGTCAGGTCACAGATTACTCATATGACTGTGAGACTGAAAATCATATAGTGAACGATTGGAACTTTACGAATATTACCAGGTGTTAAACTTCACTAAATAACACCAGGGCCACGTTAAGGGTCAGTGGAGCCCTGGGCAAACCCAAGAGCAGCGCCCCGCCCCCTTTTTTCCGCCGTGCTGGCTGGCGGTGGTTTGGGGGCACCCAGTAGGCACACCTGGGCATATGCCCAGTCTGCCCGTTTATAAAAGTGGGCCTGAATTACACATACTATGAAGCAGCACTAATTAGATTAATAATAGCCCAGGCACTTTAGGTCAAAAAATAGAACAAATTAATAACTAGCTGATTTTTGGTGTGGTGTTAGTATGTCATTAGGTAAGTATTTTCTGAAAATTCCCCTCACTTCCTCCGCTTGCTTCACCCAGTAAAGGGCTAGAAAGGGTCTAAGTGACGTAAAAATACAAAAATATTTATTGAGTGACACCAGTGTCACCGATTTTAGTGGTTTTAGTCTTGAATCATCCAGAATGAAAGTGGTCATGCTAAAGAATTGCCGCAACAATAATTCGTAGCACTTTAAGGCCTTTTATTTGATACCTATATTTTATTTTTTGTAAAAAAAAATATATACAAAAATAAATAAAACTCTTGCATCATTTGTAAGATATGTTATATTGGAATTTCTTTACCTTATTTTTTTTTTTAATCTTATATACAACTAATACTCACATATCAACAAATAAAAAAAATAGCTAAGATAAGTTGATAATTTTTCCTGCACATTTCAGAAAAAAGTACGGATCAGTTTCTTGGGGTGAATTTCAACCCGTCCAAAATAAAGCATATTCTTTACCTACATTCAATATTTCTTGTAACTACAATCCCGCATCAACATCTTCATCATCCTACAGAGATGTGGGAGGTCCATTGGCGCAGCCTCCAAAACAGCGGCTACCCATTGCAGAACAAGTTGAGTTTAGATGCCTCATCTCTTCCCTAATAATCTGGGCAGCCTCTTCAACTATTTTCTTCTATTTTTGGTCTCCAAATCTGTCATTCTATCAGCGTTCCATGACGCCCGTAATAATTTGTGAGAAGTATCACTCAACGTTACAACTGTTACCGAAAATGTAATTTTCTCTCCAAAATGCTCGGACAGCTTCCTAACTAAGTATTATGAACTGTAAATTTCATTTCCTGGTAAAAATTCTTCCATTTTTTCTAGGTAGCTCATCAGTGACGCTAAACTGGGATTCGTCGTTATTTTCAATGTAACCACATAATTTTAAAAATGCATCTCTTGTAGTGACGTTTTTCAGTCTACCTACACCTTTTTCTGATGGGTTTCAAAAAAATGTTGAATAACAGTCACGGCAATACTTTGCTTGGGCGGCTACTAAGTCTCCAACACCGGCTATTCGGGGTAAGACGGAGTTAAATATTGGTAGGGTAAAACCTTTCTATATTTTTGTGGGAGTTTTGTACTGGCACAGTTCAAGGCATATTTGCCACAAAACAAACAGTGAACTTTAATGTCAAACACCGAATCAATGCTTGAACGAGAGAGAGAGAGACGACTAGGGCCCTCCTCTAGGTCCAAACAGGACGAATCAGATGACTGACGCTGCGACGCAATTAGCTGCAGCAATGGACGATGGTCGTGTATACTAAGTTTGACACTTTTCATGGACCTTTAAGGATGTTTTACCTTCCTAAATATGTCGAACGTTGTCCCCACGCTCTTCACTGGCATGTAAAATAGCAGAAATACCTCGGCTGACGACATTTTGTCAGGTTCCCTGCTTCAGGAAGGCTCTCTCCACACTCCAGCTTTCCATGACACCAAGCGAAAAATGCGTAGCTTCAAAACTGTATTTTAATTCAAGTCCATTTATTATGAAGTTTGTGTGAAAAAATAGACTTAAGTGATGATTTACGCCATTTTCCACTTGTCAACAATCACAACACCTATATAAAACAAAATTGTTCTATTACTTATTCACATCACATATTGTAAATGAACAATTCTACCACGAGTCTTCTAAAACAACTTCAAACATAATTACGTTTTTAGCGAATTTCCCCTATAGGGAATAAGCTATTACCGTAGTACTCATGGTAAGCAACTCGGTTTTCCCATTTTGACCCTAAAAACTTAAAATTTAGCATTTTTCTTTCTAAAACATTTTGTAGAGCTTAAATAATTTAGTATATTGAAGCGTTATTATGCGCCTAATGGTTACGGAGAAAATTCTAAAAACTATAAATTTAAAATTCCCATGTTATTCTTATGGAGAATAAGTAAACTGTGTTAGTTTGCTTGTTTATGAATATATTTGATAAAATTTAGAAAATGGATTCATTTCATACTAAACTATTAACATTTTACAAAAAAACACCTTTTTACCCTCCCTGATGCAGCAAACCTAAGTACCATTTAATTTAAATAAGGAATAATTGTGATATTTTTAAGGACACATTTTAGTGTAAATCCAAATCAGGCAAATGGAAATTTGCTTAGTCTGCAGGTTTGCTTCGGCCGGGGTATTATACGTATAAAGCTGTGTACGTACATTATAACAGGTGTGAAAGCATTGTTGGGCAAACATTTTTTTTTCAGAGCTGCCAACCTAAAATATCCAAACTTAAATTTCTCAACACCCTGTAGTTTTTATGATTTATTTTTTCGTATCCATGGATATGAGGGTTTTTAATATTATTATTTACTAGCATTCTTTATGTGAGTTTATTTATTAATTAGACCATTTTGAGTTAATAAATGAGAAATTAAATGGTAAAAAATGTGCGAAGGATTCATACGCTGCGGTTCGGTGCTCTTAACTTTATATCTATATTTCGGTCTAACTTTGCCAATCCAAAATCACGAATGATTTATATATTTGTTTCATTGATTTTAAAATTTTCTTGGATATATTTTTGGACAAAAATAACAAATAATAAGTTGGGGGTAGTAGCTGTCAAAAACTGAAATTCTCAGCAAAAACGCTTTAAATAACCTAAAATTTACTAAAAAAATTTAAATATATAAAATAAAACGCCCTAAAGTGCTATGAAGTATTGTTGTGATGATTATTTAGCATGACTACTTTCATTCTGAATGATTTAAGACTAAAACCACTAAAATCGGTGACACTGGTGTCACTCAATAAATATTTATGTATTTTTATATCACTTAGACCCTTTCTAGCCCTTTACTGGGTGAAGCAAGCGGAGGAAGTGAGGGGAACTTTCAGAAAATACTTACCTAATGACATACTAACACCACACAAAAAATCAGCTAGTTATTAATTTGTTCTATTTTAGGGCATTATTTTGTCTAAAATTCCTGGGCTATAAGCTAGATTTGCTTTGTAACAAAAGGATCAATATTTCTGCAATTAGTTTCATCAAGAAATGTTTTATCAGATTTTGAAGGATAGACACTGGCCACCTGGCCACTGATATTCTAGCAAATTGTTGTGGTGTATCGTATAATAATATTTAACGTATGGTTAGTAACTGGTACCATACACTTGTACATTGATTGATTGATTGTACACTTAGCGTTTAGTAATGGACTAAGACTCACCGTGGTATTCATGATACCAGTGCCGTGGGTTCGGATGGAGTTGGCTATGTGTCGGATGTTGATGGTGTTGAGATGTTTGTTATTGCTGGAGTATTCTATAAATATCTGGTTGTTGAGGTTGTACTGGTACTTGGAGACAAATATATGAATATTCCTCATTATCTCCAAAACATCCAATCCCTGAAACAAGGTACTGAATTGAACATTTCTGATCTGTAAATTTGGCTACAGAAAGGGAAACAGTGTAATGCATAAGGTTTTTTTACGATAAGCTTTTTCTCAAGACTGCTTGGTTATAGTGGTAAATTGATATGAAAATCTTTAAATATAAATAGGCCTATAGATTGAAAATGATTGTTTCATTAAGACAGCAAAGCACTTTCGAAACATATTTTTACACTAATATAGGCACTAGTATGAAGGAGTTCATATTTGGTACAGTTCAGTCTCACAAAATTCACGTAATATACACGGAAGTGCAGAAGGGTGCTTAGATGGAAATGGATGTCAGATTATCAGAAAAACATACATAAAGTAAAAACTGAGACTTGATATAGTACATTTCTTTTTCAAAACGCTACTTTTAAAATAATATTGTATTGGAATATATAAACTATTGGAAATATAATATGGAATACTTCAATATCAAGCAGAGTAAACGGGTACAAACCTCAAATGAGTGATTCCATAATACAAAAGAAATTGAACATGTACATCAACAAAAAAGTCATAGAAGAAATACATTAAAATACAGTACTATGGAGAAATCAACAACGCCATTACCAAAATATTTAATAGAAACAATACGACGGTCGCACATTCTGTAAACAACACACTTCAAAAGATTTTCCACCCAAAACTGTCGCCACAAACAACTGTGAAATATACATATATTGACAATTTACTAATCACAGAAGTATGAAATAAGAAGAACAAAACCAACTGAAATAGAGGTGGCACTGGAGAGGAGAAAAAAAATCATGATTCAGTTAGTTTTATTTAGTCAGTGGCAGTGATAGACAGTGCTGGCCAGCCTGTACAGTTTTAATGGAGTTTTATCAATTTTCATTCTGTTAACTATTTTATCAACATAACATGTTTCAATAATTGTGATTGTGAAAGTTGTTTAAAAGAATCTATTGACATACCACAATTATATATTGATGATGTGGTTGCATACTAAATGACCTGATGAAGTTCTAAGTAACGAAACTAGTCGTCATACTAACAACTGTGGTTGGATAAGGTAATCATTTTATTTTATCAATACAAATTTTGGATACAACATAAAACAATTGACTTACTTTTTCCATAAAATTCCAAATCCTGCGATGGTGCTGACTGACAGAATGGTTTAAGCTACAATGTAGCACTCTGGTCATCAGGTAAAAATAAGCCAAATGTCCAGGTATAAATGCCCGCAAGTAGTACTAGGACTAAGTCCAAATGGCAAAGGCAATACGTGCTGTGTAACTTATTCAAGCTACCAAGTTCTGTAGTTCACTAACAAATGTGTTAGTGTTGTTCAAAGGTTTATTGCGGACATTTTCCATCACGAATGTAAAAAACAATACACAACGTTTCGGGATCTGGAATCTGATCCCGTCTTCAGGTGAAAAAACTTAACTAACACATTACAACTAACAATACACAAACGCCCAACCTAAGTTGGAATACACTACCGAGGGTAGTAGTCAAAAAATATGCACTGTATAGCAGTCAAGTCATGATACAACATGCAAATAATAACAAATCACAAAACACTATAATCTATAAAAGGTTTACGTACAAAAAACTCACACAATGGAACACTAACAACACCGTACGCTATGACTCCACCAATGAGACACTCATTGGTCATTGGGTCTCATTGGTGGAGTCATAGCGTACGGTGTTGTTAGTGTTCCATTGTGTGAGTTTTTTGTACGTAAACCTTTTATAGATTATGGTGTTTTGTGATTTGTTATTATTTGCATGTTGTATCATGACTTGACTGCTATACAGTGCATATTTTTTGACTACTACCCTCGGTAGTGTATTCCAACTTAGGTTGGGCGTTTGTGTATTGTTAGTTGTAATGTGTTAGTTAAGTTTTTTCACCTGAAGACGGGATCAGATTCCAGATCCCGAAACGTTGTGTATTGTTTTTTACATTCGTGATGGAAAATGTCCGCAATAAACCTTTGAACAACATTAACTCACCATCACCAACAATGAACTTCAAACAAAGAAATGTGTTAGGTTATGATAACTTCATGTACAAATTCTTTACAAGTTCCCTGATAAATCCGGGGGTGGGTTTTCGGGTGTCTAGTTTGGGGTACTTTATTGTATGATCACTTTCCAGAGTTATAGGTTAAGAGAACTCAAAACAAATAATATTAAAAGGGACAAAGATTTTTGTAGGGTACCTATTTGAAGGCCCTGCTGTGAAGCATGACCACTTAATAGTAATATATTAGTTTGGAAGTATTACAGGAACAGGGCCGGATTTAGAGTTTTTGCGCCCCTATGCCCAAATAATTTTTCGCCTCCTAGTCTGATCACAGTTACTTTCCTTCAAACCTTTATTAAAAACTATATCATGCCCGTATGCCTAAGTTAATTGCTTGAATACCACTCCTCGTTGGAATCATTGAATTTTGTTTAAGAATCGACTTGTTTAGCCTTAACAAAATGCCGTCTTAAACACTTATTAGCAGTTGTATGCTTTTAATAAATGCTCACGTTTGTGGCCGTGGGACTAAAACAAAACAACTCAACCACTGAGCATTAATGAAAGAAAAACATGGCAATTGATTCCAATTCCGAACTCCATACAGTACGTGATACCATGGATTAAACCTACTCCTTCAGTAGATTTGTCATCATTTTGGATTAGTTTATCCAAAATAAAACGATCTAATCATCAACAATAAGTCGTCTCCTATTTATATTATAAGAAATTAAAACACAAATCATAGAACTAACCCTAAAATAATAGAAACAAAATTACGTCAAAACCAACGTCCAGTGTCACCAACAAGAAATTGACATGAAAAAGTTTGAATTAACAATGTCATAAGAAGTCGACTTGAGTTACATTTAATCTATGGTCTTACTGCATCTAGGTTATATTTCCAAAGCAAAACAGAGCAATATTCCGGCCAACCGTACCGATCCTTAGTTCTGAGGAGAAAATGACAGCATTAATGGTGCTTTGGAGGGTATTGAATTTTCTTAAATCTAATGCAAACTGAGATTAATATTTTTTTGTTAATTTTAAAGGTAAATCCATCGTTGTTTTAATATGCAACACAACTTATTATATATTTTAACTTGATCCTGTAGATTGTTGTAAACTAATCAAAATATTATTTAATATCTTTTGTTTTGTGAGGTGAGGGTGGTAACAATGTCTAGCACGCATGCGCCCCTAAACACTCTTATCAGTAGTGCCGAGCCGAGCCAGCATAGTGGCAGTGCAGTAGCAATACGATGCATACCCCTTGGGCGCTCGTCAACTTCAACATCCCTACAGCCTACTCCCGTATAACCGATGTTCGTTACCAATTTTGTAACGAAATTGATGCGTAATTCTGAAAAATAGTTTAAATTTCCTAACAATTATTTCTTCTAATGAACCTCAGAATCACAATGCTTTGGAGTAACTATGACTATTTATTTTTATTTTTAGATAGCCTAGGTATAAAAAAATTTACTCTCGGCCGTGCGCCCTCTGGGACCTTGCGCCCATAGGCCCGGGCCTACCGGGCCTATTGGGAAATCCGGCCCTGTACAGGAATAGATTGAACAGAATAAATATCCTTGACTCTACCTGTTCCAATGTCTGGCTAGGTAGAGTATCTTCTACAGTCGATATCCTGTACTTGTGCTGAGCCAGGCATCTCATTTCACCATATGTTCTCCAATCGTGAAGAGCTACTGTTGTTAAGTCGTAAAAAGTATGCTCCAAGTAGTTCCCAACTTTGCCTGAAAGGTGGATAAATTATTTTGTAGAAAAAAATGGCTTTTGATCTTAGCTGAAGTGAATAAGTTAAATTTAAAAAAAGGTTTGGGGTTGTCAGATTATTTATCTGAATTACTTGAAAATATAAAAAAGAAATGCTTGTAAACACTTAATTAATTCCTAGTAACTTTTTGTGGTAAACTCGCAAGTGAAAAATTGAAAAACAAATAATACTGAGCAATCCAAAGAATGTCTTAAGATACTATCTGCACATGCATTAAAACTGTTCCGTATCTAACGTATTCCTATACAAAATACAGTTACTAAAATTTAAATTAGTATTGAACTTATTCAACACTTATTTGAAATATCTGTGAATGATTTAAATAGAGATGTTGTATATGGTGATCTTTAATCGACAAAATGAATGATAAATTATTGAAATAACAAAAAACAGCAGTATATCACCAATAAATAATCTTACCTTTGAGGTGGATGAGACGGCAAAAGAGGAGCACTGGGGGTAACGACATTATGTTCTTACAATCTGCTTTGAGGGAGGGTAAGGAGATTTCCTGGGACTGCAGATGAGCATGGGCATGCAATCTGAGGTTTGTTTCAATCTCTTCGCATAAAGGTTTCAAGATCTAAGAAAAAATACAAAACAATTCATTTATTGGATCAGACAATCAATAACTCAAGATTATCATCCAGTTCTTAATTTCCTAAAATGAGGATATGCTGGTTGTTATGGTTGAAACTTGAAAGTTACTATAAGCTGAATAAATATGGATGGGTGTTGTATTTAGAATAAATATTAACAAGAAACCAGTAATATCATCGTTAAGGCTATCGTAACTCAATAGCATGAAAAATTCCAAAGGGAACAGCTGTATTTTGGTGTATACAATGTATATTTAGTAGGTTGTGATCAACAAACTACAGTAAACTCCCAATTATCTGTGGGATTGACTGGCGTGAATGCCGGGGATAATCAAATTTTGCGGATAAGCCGCAAAATTGCTGATAACGGTTAAACAAAGGTCGAAGGCACTAAAAAACAACACACAAGTGCTCTAAATAAGTTTATTATACAATAAAAGGATGTACCTGATAACAAAACTCAATAAATATCATCCTGTTATTGATGACATTTAATGCATCACGAATTAAATATCACTATCGTTTGCATTAACGAAGCTAACAGTTTGAACGATTGAGTACTGAACTAATGCTGTAGTGATGCGCGTATTGAGGGGAAGGGGGAGGGTCAGTCAACAGTAGTAGACAGGGCAAATGAGGGGAAATGAATATGCAGATTATTCACTGGTCATGTGATTCACTCGCGCGCTTAGTAAACAAAGATCTGCAGTGTTGCTGGTTGCGCCCAAAACTGCTCAAGCACACACCACGTACAGTGGATACCAATATACTGTACAGTAATACTGAACTACTGTACACGGTTTTTACTGTACATTAGTAAGTGTACTGTACTGTACTTGTGATTTACGATTTTTATTGCGGTTTTGTATTTAGTAACTTTATTTAAATTATGTTTTTTTTTACCTGCATGCACTGTGGATAATTTGCAAAGCGGATAAACCGCCCACGGATAATCGAGAGTTTACTGTATATGAAAAACTGGAATGAGCTCTCGGACAGTTAACTTTTCGTTTTCAATAAAACAGTCCGTGTCCACCATCCTTGCTCAGTGTAGGCCTGAACTAGTTTTTTTCATGACAAACACACCCTTCAAGGTATTTTGTTGAGAAATATTTTGTTTCTTCTTTATCGAAGATGTAAAAATGTTTTGTAGGTATTTTTTTTTGTTTCTGTTTTTTTCTAAATGCTACATTTGTATGTAAAGATTTTGTTTACAGTTTATTGCAACATTTTGAGAATCTAGTCTGGATATTTAAGATAGACTAGCAGACAAAATAGCTGTTAAAGTACTATTATGTCATCCTCAATTTTACATAATTGAAATTGCAAACTTAAAAAACAAGCCTGCTGTGTGATTGAGGTATAGGTTTCCACGGCTCTAATTTACAAAATGGAGGCTGCTGAACTGACTTTACAACATTTAGTGTTTGTTCCAATGACTTGCATGGTTTTTTTTACAAAACAAGCAGTTCTACTGGAATTAGAACTACCTTTGCATTGAGTTGCTGAGTGATCTCTCCATCCAGAGGCCGCATTATTTGAGGCTGCAAACTGCCGTGCATATCCTTGACACTGTCTTCTATGGCCTCCAGAATATACTGTACAAATCATGAGTGTTAGCTTTAAAATCATAAAATGAAAAAATATGATTATTTTATTGAATTATGGTGTTTTGACATAACACTTGATTTTGTCAGTGATTGTTAAAAAAACTGCACAAATTTGACACTTTAAGTTTTAAAAATTTGATCAGCTTTGTGGTTGGGCTGATTAATATAATCGTATACTACTAAAAATTGTAGGGATGGTCAAGTCTCGAAATTTCGGGAAATTTTCAATCTCGTTACACCAGACGAGATTACTATTTGGCCGAGATTTTTATCAAGACGAGAATTAAAAAAAAAAAAAAAAAAAAAAAAATTAAAAACGCCTGCAGAAAGTCAATGCAATACCCGCAATACAGGATCGTGTTGTAGTTGCGTTTCCTTTTCGAAGGCGTTCTTATTTAATTAATTCTTTTAATGTAAATATTACTTTAATTCTTTTAATGTAAATATTACTTTAATTCTTTTAATGTAAATATTACTTTAATTCTTTTAATGTAAATATTACTTTCATTATTTTAATAATATTACTTTAATAACATTTGAGAAGTTTTGTTAAGTGTAAGCAGTGTGAGGAATGTTTTATTACTATAAAAAAAGTCAAAACAAGTAACTATTTTATAAAAATTAATATTGCTTTAAGTTAGGCGTGATTAATAAAAAAATGTTATGCTGATGTTATTTAATGAAAGATTGTAAATATTCTTGCCTATTATCATTATTTTAGTATTTAAACAGTCATCTAACAATGTTAAAAAATCAGGTAAAAATTTTGAACGTGCATTTCCCGTTGTGTATGAGAAGAGAAATCTCGTCTCGATCTCGTCTCAAAATTTTATGAGAAATAAAAAATCTCGTCTCGTCTCGTCTCGAACTAAAAATCCAATCTTGTCCATCCCTAAAAAATTGCTTCGCTTTAAACAAAATATGGAGGGTATGAAATTAGTTCCATAAATAGCGTGCTTCAAATATTACACTAGTATAGCCTAATTAGTTAGTATTAGACTTAATTTAAGAGTTTATTACTTTTACTTTTCCTTTCTAGATTGGTAAAAAGACAAAGATTGCAAGAGGTTTCGTGATCTGGAATCTGATCCCGTCCTCAGATGAAAAAGCCTCCCATAAACCTAAACCATTAAACTAAACCATAAAATTGTAGATTTCTTTCAGGATATTTTTGCTTCTTGTTTTTACAGTTGTCCATGTGGTTATTAATTTGACTTTACAGCTTTGGCTGGGTTTCTGTAATAATCTTGTTATGTGGGTTTCTGTAATAATCTTGTTATGTTTAGGTAATTTATCAGGTATAGATTTCAGGATCGGAAGCGTTATGAGAAAACTGTTTTCCACTAATCATGATCTACAATGTTCCAAACTCACTTTAACCAAAAATAAATTTTAAGCAAAGATCTATTAGAGTAAAACCAAAACCTCACTAACTCGACAATTCTTATAACTGGACAGTCAACAGCTGACAAGGCACACGTTCTTATAGCTGGCTTTGTCTTATTGTGTTTGACTTTACAAGCTTTAATTGTTGAATATTCTACTTTTTTTTAGATTGTTTACTCAATATCTATGAAAAATACTCATGTAAGTACCTAAAAAATGTATATGTAAGAATTAGTCTGTTATGTATCCATTTATTCAAACCCATAAGAAGTTTTAATGTTCTGGATGACTTGACAACCACCAAACTCGACAACCACTAAGTCCAAAACTTGTCAAATTAGTGAGGTTTTACTGTAATAAAGTTTGATCTAACCTTAATCCCATGAAGATGGCCTTTGGACTCGTAAAGAGCGGTGAAGTATATAGGCAGAATAACACGGTGCCAGTAAAGGAAGTTGCAGTTGGTAGCTTGCTCTAAACGGTGAATGAGGCGAGGTATTCTGGCAAGAGACGCTAACGTGACTGAGAGTGAGGTTAAGTCTTCATCTCGGAATGTTTGTTTCTGGTTAGCAACAGACAATGCGATCCGAGCGACCAGCAGTCTTTCTCGTGTAGGAGGACCGTTGAGGCATTTCTCTGCTAGGACTAGGGATGACAACATGTCTACATGCTTTTCACTAAACTTCTTGTCCGACATCAGGCCTTTCTGTAGGAAAAAAAGTAAATGAGAAAAGAGAACACTACACACTCCAGGTTTGTCATTCTGTCCCTAAATTAAGTGGTTTTGAATCAATTTGATCAAACAATATCTTCTAAGCTATTTTCAAAATACACTTGACTTTATTTCAGGCTGAATTAACCTAATTTTCTGGAAGGATTAGCTTACAAAATAACATGCAAATATAACAGGATTTTTTGTTTCATTCTCGTTATTATTATTTTACATAATTACAAATGTTTTCTAACATTGAGTGTTTATTTACATTTAACGATTAACCGCTTAATAATCCAGAACTTTAAAAAGTTCACAAAATTCATTGCTCTTTCACGATTGAGTGGGCGTGTTTAAGTAAACTTAATGAACAATCAAGAGTAATTACATATAATTAGCAAAAGCTAGTAGTGATTGTCAAAAGCAAAAATGCCAAAAATTTACAATCTCGGAACCAAAACTTTTTACTTGAGAAATTAAGGCTAAAAAATACAGGTAGGTAATTATAAGATAGCACAATGGGAACATATCACAATGGGTGTGTTTTGTAACTTATCCAAGGCGTTTGACTGAGTCAATCATGATATACTCATTAACCCTCCGAGTGTTAAGCGTCGCGTAATCGACGCACAACACACCCGCCATGGTGTTATGCGTCGCAGTTGCGACACACAAACATCGTTTAAGGCAAATGCTCTGGGACTAACTGAATCAGATTGAACTGGATCGAGATTGGTATTGTTGTTTTTCGGCAGATTCTAAGCTTTCTCCTGATGTCTATTTCTAGACGCTTTTCATTTTAGTTCCGAAAATATTGTAGCAGACAGATGACGTGCGTATTTGTAAACAACTTGGTTAACCTCGCACCGATGACTGATATGTTTTATTACGTTTATCATTGTTTTAGTGTTAAAAATAAAAAGATATACGTGGTGCATTATAAGAAGATTTAAGTGATTTTGAAGGGCTGGTTGATGATCCTGAAGAAGTATGTAGTGATATTGATGTAAATTATCCGCCAGATTCCTAGCTATGGTTAGGCTATGCATTCTTAGCTAAACGCTAAATGTACGAAATCTGTTTTTCACCCATAACTTATTTATTTGCTAATTTACTTCCTTATTTTATTATATTTTTGTAATCCTTATAAAATTTAGATCAAAGTGGCAATTTTAAAATATTTGTAGACCTATAAATTATACAAATTTATTGAGCACAAACATACATTTTATCATTTATTTTATAATTTTTGAAAAATGTTAACACCACAAAAATTGTTGAAAATTTCTTTTGTAATGTTTTATACATTACAATGAAGCCCATAATTTTGTAAACAAAATATTGTATAAAACAGTATACTTTAGAGTGTTTTTAAGTTTCTAAGATACATTTTAATAAAACCCTGCGATTGCGCAATAAATGGGCCGACATTAATACCATTACTATGGACACTTGGAGGGTTAAAAAACTAGAATTACATCCCTTTTTTGTAAATTCAGTATCATGGTTAACATATTACCTAAATAATTGCCATTAGAGAACAGTCATTTGTAAGGATAATTTCAAAGCAAAATCAAAATAGCAAAAAAATTAAAAGGGTGTGCTTCTAGGTTCGATTTGGGGCCACTTCTATTTCTTATATATATTAATGATCTTCCAAAAAATGTTTCAAATAATCTAACTCTCTATGCAGATGACACTACAGTACTGCAGTAGTTAAAACAAAAAACAATGATGATTTAAAACATAAAATGAAGAAAAAACCTATCAGAATTGGGTAAGTGGTTTGAGATCAATGGTTTGAAAATGAATGAAGAGAAAACAAAATTTTTAAGTTTTGTACACCTCAATCAGTTGCAATCATTGATTAATCTTTACCAACTGATGATAAATTAATAATGTAAAATTTTTAGGGCTGTATATTGATAAACATTTGACTTGGAGTAAGTGCATTCAAGTTTTAATCATGACAATGTCAAAGAATTATTTATTTATAACTGTAAGCAATCCAAACATTTATTGACTTACCTTAGCTGCAGCTATAATGGATAAAGCTTGAAAGGAGAGTCGCTGAATGATATGTCCCACACTACGAGCTATCACAGCCTGGTTACGAAGATATGTCTCCCTGACTGTTTTGACTAGTTCCACGAGGCGGCAGAGACCAATGACTGACGACTTGGTCATGGGCTTGGCCATTGACCCATGTAGATTTGTCAGGTTCGTCAACAGCTTGTGCATCTTCAAGCTCAGTTGGATACCCTTTAGACACAGCACAGTTATGAATTAATGGCAACATCTTGACATTTGCATAGAACTTAACAGAAGCAAACCATAGATGAATAGTGAAACATTATTGTTTGAAGTTTTTATTTGAGGCAGTTCTCCAATACAGGGAAATTTTCCTAACCTGAGAGATTTACAGTAGGTCTCATAGTAAGACCTAGGCTCGGGACCGATTTACTTTTTCATTTTGATGTCCCCCAAAGGCCAAAAACGCTATTTGTCAAATTTTTGTGTGTGTTTGTAACCCTGATAATTTGAGTAATTTTGGCTGAATTCTGATGAAACTTTAAATGAATGTGTAAGACGGGATGAACTTGAATGAGCTAGTAAGCGAACCAGCCAGGTTTGTGTCATAGAAACAGAATGTTTTGTTATTTTTCAAAAATTTGTTTTTTCCAAATTTTTACCCTTAAAACATAAAAACGGTTTGTAAAATTTCCTCGGGATAAATAAATGAACAAGCATCCAGCATCTACTACACTTAGTTTGGTATTGAAAGAAATGTAACACAACCAATAATTTTTCCTAACATTGCATGGAAAAGATCACATTACCACACTGTAAACAGTACGCAAAATAGCTTATTTCCGTTCTAGAGCGGGAATGACCATTCCCGCATGCTTAATCAGCTGATTTCACAGTTGGCATTTCTACGCCAACCTCAGCCATGGAGCCAGTACGTTAACACTCGAAACCGATAAGCAAATAAAATAACCTAATAAAAGCAAACATAACCTAAATGACGTGGTAGGAAAAATCTTTTGAGTATTGAGAGCACAAAAAGTCAATGCGTTTTGTCAAAATGTTTGTAACCCACAGTTCTCGAGCCGCAACGACATACTTAGTGCTCTTAATACACAAATAGCTATTTCTAATTTGAATACTGCTAACGCTAACCATTGTTAATATATTATATTGCAAAAATTCACTTACCTCCAGATAATAATTGCACATAACCTTTATGTCATCAACTTTGAAATTTGCTAGGTCTTTTTTCAAAATTGACTCCATTTGTAAGATCCATGCAAAAACCTGCAATAAATAAAGCATATAAACATAAATCTCTTCAATAAAACGTATAGTAGACTAGACACATTAAATATACATGAAGCTTTTCAGACCCAAGCAGAATTATTTTAGTCAGTAAATTATTTTGATTCATGACATTGACAACAATGCAATAACTTGTGTCATACAGTACTTTGTGATGAATCTAAATGCATTTATCATATCTTTGTTAAAAACTTAAATCAGCTGATTTTGAGTGATTTCTTTATCAAGAGAAGTCAATAATAAGATGTCCAATGATCAATGAAAGTTGGGTTAAATAACAGTCCTTTAGATCTAACAAACTCTGGAGGTGATTGATCCAGTGTCGTTTGGATTGAGGGTGAAAACAATATCTAATCCATAAATTAGCCAGGTAAATCTATGTTACCTTCTTTATAATATAAACAGTGTTTTTTTTTCAAACATTTAATTGTATTGTGATGTTACTGTATTAACTAAAAGTATGATATAAAATATACTTTGCTTTGTTCTAGAGTCACTGTGGAAAAACTGTTTCCATTAAATCACAGCCATTTGTAATATTTTGCAGTGTTATATGTAGTTTTATTGCATGTATTATATATGTGTGAGTCTTGATGTATCTATCTATAAGCTACAATAGAAACATTTTGTATATGTTTCTAATAGAAACATTATACAAAATAACCAAGAACTGCAGCAGTGAACTGCAAAATGGAGGCTGAATTACTAAATCACTCTTAGGCTACGGTGACAGTGTAGGCTGGTACAATTTTATAAAAAATATGGTTTTTCTTCTGTACATGAAAGATCCTAACAGGAAACAATATTTTTATCTGGCTAATATTTAAAAACATAGTGGATTGTTGTAACAGAATCAAGCAAACACTAACACTTTCAAAGCAAAACACTTTCAGCATAAAACTCTAGGAGTCAGTTGTTACTCAATTAAGCAAAAACTAAGTTTTATTTTAAATTTATAAATTTAGTGCATTAACACGTTCACTGCGAGGGGCGGGAATTACCGCCACGCTGTACCGGGGGCGAGGCAGGAAATGTCGTCCTTCACCAATGCAAACAACCTTGTTGCAATTTGAGCTGAGCCATTGCTGGGGAACGTTGTAATCGTTGCTAGCCATTAGCTTAGAATGTGTGCTTTATTCTGATGTAGGTTGGTACTAAAATTGCCCGTAAAATCCCGTATGGCAATGCTTTTGCCCGTTTTAGGAGATTTTCTCTATTTGAGCCATATTACAAAGACTCTGGTTATTGATCCAGGCAGTGCTGTTACCTTTGGGTGTTTCAGTGAACTACGTCCACTATCGGGGTAATGCAGAACAATCACCACTGCTCTTTTGTGATTCGTCTTACTGAGATATTTCAATACCAATAGTGATCGCTGAATCCGCCCGGGCCTCGCCGCCATTGCCGAGCACCTGTTTAAAGGTTTTCAGCAGCGAACGTGTTAACTCAACACTTTGATCTATTTCCAAGTGTAACGTTTCATAGGGGACTCCATTCATCTACACGTAAAAAATATGTATAGTATTCTCATGGACACTATTAAAAAACTCAAAATTGTGTTGAATACACAAGTCAACTTTATGTTGACAATTTGCATGGTGGATACTTAACGCCTTTAAAGAAACGCTTAACTAGCAAAATATATGGCACTCACCTGGAATGAGAAAGAGGAGATAAGTTTAGGCAGATTGGAACTAGATATTTGGATATAGTTAATCCTAGCATTTACTACAGCTTCTTGAGCCTTCTTATCCACCAACTTCTTAGATAAATGTGTCAGGTGTTGACATAAGAACTGATCCGGGAACCAGACTATGTTGCCATTCAGAGTTACTGACGGCACCTGTAAGCACACATACAAACTAATATTACAAAATATTGATATTGATAATTGTCGCGGCCGTGGGACGATTACGATGTCTACACAGCCAAGGGAGACGAAAATTAACACGGCCGCGAGGGATTTTCAGAAGTTTACCGTGATCGCAAGCAAATACAACCACACATTTTTTTACTTTCCAATTTTTTGGCACCCCCCAAAAATCCAAATGCCATGCGCCCTAGGCACTTGCCTATTCAGTAAATCGGCCCTGGCTCTTAGCACAAAATTTTTAACCTTCATAATTTGCAAATGTCCCTCACCGTAAAACCTCTGTTTTATATTTTTTACTTATTATATTTCTATATATTTAGCTACCAAATCAAAAGAGTTCATATGGAATTTCCAAAATTGTCATTTCCTCTTTGACAACTGACTAATAGGTAGGTAGTTTATAAATACACACTACACAGGATATCTTGTTTTGCTTTTCTAGTATGGTTTGTTTGTTTTTATAATAATGATGAAAGGAAGAAATATTGGCTAGTGGAAATCACTTGGTTATTTTATCAACCTAGATTTTATATACATCTAGAAAACACAAAACAATTATTATAATATCAAATATCATATAAAGTATACACTTATCACCTAGATTATAAGTAAGAAACCATTAACTAAAAAAGTTACCTGATCAAATTCAGGAAGTAAATCACACAGTAAACTTAATACTTATTAAGATTATTTCCCATTAGATTACTTTATTATCTAATTTCATCCCTCAATATTAAAAACAAAACTACAATAGTCTGAACCAAGTATTTTTCTTAATCTCAGTCTTAGTTTTTCAACCTTTATTTTCAGTACAACCTACTTAAGAATTGCAATGTCATCAGCTCTGCTACAAAAAATAAACACTGGAGTAGTGCACTACTTTAGGCTGGATACGCCTAAACACAACAATTGGGGGTATTTTTTGTTTTCAAAAAGTATTGTAATATAACTCACTTTTTTACTTAATTCCCAGAATTGTTTGAACAGCTTCTTATCTGAGGAACCAAACAGATGAACATAGAATGTGTATAACGTACAAACACTGGCCCACGTCATCTGGACCTCTGGATCTGTCAAAACCTTTGTCTCTACTTCATTTAAAGCACTCCTAATGTACTTATCCATTTCTTCCGATAGCTCAGAGTTTTTTGTAGCAGGACCATTTCTTTCAAATGGTAGTTGTAAGACATTCTGTAAAAAAGAATATTTATATTAATGAGCCTTTTTATTGAACTAATTCAATATTTAAACATGTTTATTGCTCTCTGTCTCCAAGTGTATTCTTCTGACCAACCCTATAAGAGAACACAGGAGCAAATTTGCTGGACGTCCAATGCAATAGTAGATTACGCAACGATTGTGTAAAGAAAGTGATAATAACACTAGTAGAAACTTCAGATCTACGAGTGTCGTTAAGACTATTTACACGAGTTGCGTACACTACTTTACCTACGACCGTTTTTTAATTACTAACAATTACTACTCATAACTTCTAAGAGAGGTTATGTTTTTGTTTATAACCTCTCATTGCCACTGAGTGATGCAAGGACTCGTTGGACCAACCATTAACCCTTTGAGTGCCTCCAGGGGGTGAAACAATTTTATTTGAGGTTTACCAGGCCTACATGTGATGTTGCTTCTAGGAATGCCGACCATTTTTCCACATAAATGCAGGTGTTTAGGAAAATTGTCATAAAATACTTATTTATTAGCATTTTTGGCCTAAAATTTGTTTTGTTTTGTAGATTATTAGATTGTGCATTGTAAAATACTAATTTTAGTTGGGGTTTCATGAGTTAAAATAAAATATTTTCATGGACAAGACAGAAATATGGTGCAGTTTATTCTCATTTTCAAAGTTTGAGTTAAAATAACACAATTTAAAATTAATCATTGACATTCAATTTTTACATTCATTTTAAAGAGCATTAAAAATTAAAGAGAAATCATGTATAACAAATGTATTTATTGTATATGTCCAAAAAATATGTAACATTTACTACAAAGAGGTCTCAAAAAATTCCAGGCCCTACCCAGCAAAACAACCTAAATCATGCTCTAGGACTTGTATTGTTACAGACAAAACTATTTTATGTTGATAATTCAAATTACTATTAGAATACTATTATAAGCCAAGCACAAAATATACAAACGGTCAAAATAAAATCACATGCACCTATAGGCCTGACTTACCAAGTCCAGTTACCGGTACACTTTATGTGATTAGCCACAAACTATCAACAAATGCACGAATAAGTTGTGGTATTATAACTTTTTAAAGGTTTAAAATGTATTTTTCAACGATTCATGACTATCTATAACCAAACTATTCATAAACAAACATTTACTAGAACGTAAACAGTCGAAACAACAACACACGAACCAGCTGGGTAAAGCCGTCTACTATCGTGTAATGGTTTTTGTTGATTGGTAGACCACATTTCTCAGCTTCATTATACAGTAAAAGAGCAAAATAGTTGTTGCCGACCTCCTTCTGTCACATTTGGAGTGATTTGCAGCTACCTTTATTGAAATGTGATACTGTATGAAATGATTTTCTGAGCGTCTCGCTCCGAGACACCGGCATTTCTCGCGCAACCTCGACCGTCTCGCTACGAGACGCTCGGCACTCAAGGTACGACAATGGTGCGTCTCGGAGTGAGACGCGGCGGCACTCAAAGTGTTAATTGCACCACTTAACAATTAAATTGGGTTAAACAGCTGATTAGTTGAAGTTTGAAGTATTACAATTTTACTTCTTTTCTCTCTATCTTTGAATCTCATTGGTCCTTTAATCGTATTGTTAAGTAAAACAATGCTGTTAAGCGAATCTTTTCAATTCTAAGAACTGAACTGAAACGACTAGTTCAAAACGGTCATAGGTAATATTACTAAACCAATAGTAGGATGCTTATACATTTGAAATGAGATAGGCAGAACTACTTACTAAGCTGATGGTTGAACCTTTCTACTTTGGTTAATGATAACTCACTTTTATGCATCGGTTGTGTTACTGAAGTAATTGTACAGTAGAACCTCTTTAATCCGAACTAATTGGGACGGGGTAGTTCGGATTACAGAACATATTGTTGCTAAAATGGAACGTAATTGCTACTGGAAAAGTGAAAACGTGCTTTATAAAGTAAAATACAGTGTTCATTTAATACAGTAGTAAAAATAGTGAATAAATAGAACTGTAGTTGCAATAGAAACAATTACAGTGCGTATATCAATAAATACAGTATACAATAAAGAACTACTGTACCATGTATAGAGTACAGCAATGAGGCGTTCGGATTAGTGAACGTTAGGATTACGGGGGTTTGGATTAAAGAGGTTCTACTGTAATATAATTTAATAAAAAGATAAGAAAGTATGGAACGTTTCCGTCTGACACCAATAGGCGCGTGCTGGTAGCAGAATTTAAATTACAGACATGTCCACCCCCTCGATGACTGTCCAGTTGTTACAGAAAAAGAGTCGTTGTGCTACCTGTTGTCGTAATATTTAAGTTTAAAAAGTGTGCTACAATTAAAAATCCTGCTGGTGTTTTGTAATACAGGTTTTTTTTGCCCAGAGACTAAAAACCAACTGAAATTCAGCCTCAATTGTGTGAAGTTTACAGAAACATCGGAAAACAATTATGATGTCCGGTGGTGTGTTCCAGTGATGTAAATTTTTTTCCCCATGACAATGTCCGACTTCACACGACAAATCATACACAAGATCTCCTTCATTCATTCGAATGGGAGATTTTCGCTTAACCACCCAACAGTCAAATGACCGATAAGAGTGATTTTCACTTGTTTCCCGAAATAAAGACTTGGTTAGCACAGCCCTTTGATGACGATGAAGAGTCAAACCTAACGACAACCACAACTGTGAATAGATAATACAAGTTATTTTTAGTTTATTGTTTTGGAAATTCAAACAAGCTTAGGACAAACAGAGTAAAAGTTCCCACTCCAAAATTGCATAACAATAACTGCAAAAAAACAGGAGGAAACTGATAATATAATTGGTATCACACATTGTTTGAGGTATTTTTAATTAACATAAACCATACCATAAGTGAATGTGTTTAAATTTTAAACGTATAACAATAATAATAATGACAAACTTTGAAAAGTAAATCAAGCATGAAAACATCACCAATTAATTGTTCCATGATATACATTGTACAAATATATATTTGTACTCAATATACATAAATCAGTACCATACTAATGACTCATTTAAGATATAAATACCTGAAAGATGGTTCCACTAAGAAGTGTAGAGTTTATTTGCTTTAGCATTTTGCCAAGCATCTTTGTTTTGCCGGAGTCAACATGGAATCTTGCAGATTCGTGGACTGCTTTGCTGACCGAGTGCTGATAGCAGTTCCAATGGTCCCTCAGGGTCATATGACTCATCAGCACTTCATCCAGTGTGACCAACATTACCAGGAGTTGCCCCGTGTGCTCTAGTACATCCTAACAAACACAGAATCTTGAATTATATCTATATCATACAATATATACTCCCTAATCCAGTCTCCAATAATCCGGACATCCAGAATATAGAGAAAAAAAGTGAGAGTAGCTGTACAATATTCATATCTTAAATGTATTATAATTTCAACAGTTGGAGGAGTATACTGAGAGGGAGGAAAATGACATTTCCAAGTAGATAAACAGTGACAGTGATTTCATGATGTTAGCCTCCAAATCATTTTAGTTATTAAAAAATGGTTTAAATACCTTAACTGTCAGGTGATCCTTGGAGTAGTATTACACTACTGCAGTTTCAGCCCTCAGGGGGCTTTCTTCATGTGTCAAAGGAGGTCAAAAGTTGTCATTCATACAAATTCGTCACATTTAAACTACGAGAACACAAATACACGAACACGAACATAAAAAACGAATACACAAGTAAGAGTCACAAACATTTCCCATGGGTTGATTGATGCACAACGCGTGCAAGGAGCTAGCCTAGACGAGGAGCTAGCCTAGACTCGTCTGGGCTAGCTCCTTGCACGCGTTGTGCATCAATCAACCCATGGGAAATGTTTGTGACTCTTACGTGTGTATTCGTTTTTTATGTTTGTGTTCCTGTCCGTATTCGTATTTGTGTTCTCGTAGTTTAAATGTGACGAATTCGTATGAATGACAACTTTTGACCTCCTTTGACACCTGAAGAAAGCCCCCTGAGGGCTGAAACTGCAGTAGTGTAAAACTACTCCAAGGATCACCTGACAGTTAAGGTATTTAAACCATTTTTAAGTGACAGTGACATCAGTAATCGAGTGCTAAACAAAGACAAAATCATCTCATTGTGCCTTTCAAACCCAGATCAGCTGTGAAAATGAACACGACACAAGAGGAACTAGACCTTGCTCATGGCAAGGGCAGAACATAGCTGGAGGGGAAGATACCTACTTCGAGAAACAATCACGAACTACTGACCTTGAAGTGCCTACATGATCACACTGCAAAATGGCGTCATTCATTGCTTAAACAATCAAAAATATTTTTAAAAAATATTATAGTTTTCTTACACTTCTTGCCCCCCCCCCCCCCCCCCTGCAGACCATTATTGTACATTGGTCAAGTAAACTCGGTCTATCAGTCGACAAACAGTACTGTGAAATTGTGTCAAGTCAAGTCCAACAATAAATTTGTTCCTGATAAAGATGTTTTAATATTGATTATTATCCAACCAGTCAAGTGACAATCAATCTTTGTTTAAATACGTTGTATCATAAAAATACTGTATGCTATACTATATTTACTACTTCATCACCGAAACGGAGGTGATAAAAAATTAATAATGGCTTAAAAGAATAGACAATTATGGTTATTATTGATATACCAAATATCATTACTTTTCTAAAATTGTAAAAAATATATTACACCGTTCCGGGACTTTTCAATCACCCTGTATACAATAAACTATATCACTTCAAAACGGTTAAATTTGACTGTTGCAAATTTAACTTTTCACATCACCTTCTATAAGTCCAAAGTATGACATACTTATCATACTTACCGGAGTCGCAGCCGACCTAACCAGAAATGTACACGCATTATCACGACGTGTAAATAATATTCGTAATCTGTGTTTGTAACTGTGTTAAATGTATTCAGTGTCTTTATTTTATGAATGACGAATCTACCAAGAGGATCAACCTGATGATGTGGCTGTTGCCAAGAAACATGTAGTATCGTATCAACAACATTAATGGATATTGTAAGGTAATCTAAATATTTTATATTAATGATTAGTCAATATGTCAATATTTTAAAGACAAATTTGATGAAACACACTAATCTTAAGTACTGTATATTGGCTCTACACATTGGTTTATGATAAATGGATATGTAATCAAACATTACAGTAAAGCTCTATAATTACCTGACACTAGCTTCTTACAGATTTGACTATAAATTTGTTAGATGCCGCTGCTATGTGTTATGGTCTACTAGGTAACCACTAGTTACAGGAGGTAAATTTACTTGACAAAAATTGTCGCAGGTTTAACAACCTTGATTTTGCAAAATATATTTAATTCCCTTCTCTCAACACTTGTTTTTGATGTTGTTGTTTAATATAGTGTACTTATTAACTTATGTTTCCATATCACCAAAATCATATTAACAAACTAGGCTATAAGAAAATTTTAGTCACAGATTTATCAGGGGATTTTCATTATCCCTGTAATCTCTTATCCATCCAAATCCTGGCAACGACACTTTTAGTATATCTTACTAAGTTACAAAAGACCTATAAAAATCCTACAAAGCTGCCTATAACAGCCATTTATCTAAAGTAGGATGTTGTTAGATCAAAACTAACTTGCATATGAAGATCAGCTGGTGTAAGGGATTTTGAGTTTTCTTTTGCAAGAGCATAGAACGCTATGAGCTGCAAAACTAGTTGGTTGACCACTTGGTAGCATCTTTTCACAAAACTCATCAGATCTTGGAGTACAGGCAGGAGTTTACTTATCATCAGCTGAGGTTGTCCCTCCAGAGCGTTTGTATCCACTGAAACGAAATCATAAATGTACAGTAGTCTTTATTATCTTAAATAAAGTGGCTGCGGAAAAATCGGATAAGATGGAAAACAAGCCATTGGAAAACAATAAAAGCCGTTGTAAACATGTTAAACATCATAAAACTACAAGGCCTAACATTTCTTTGTTGTCAAATATATTTGAGGGTTTAGGTTTGTCTTATATTAAAATGACTAGGCCTACATTTTTCACTTCTGAATTCATCATCACACTATACTCTGCGCCAAAGCTGGTGGCGGCTGAGAGATTAGGACGGCCAGGTCGGTGAGCAAGTTCGACCTATGTAGTCCTACCTGGCCGTCCTAATCCCTCAGCCGCCACCAGCTTTGGCGCGGAGTATAAGTTAATATAACAAAAATAAGAATATTCCCGCTGTAACAGTAAAATATAAGATAAAGTGATGCTCGTCTACTCATTGAATTAACAATTCCCAAGTATCAATGAGCTTTATTTTTTTATAAATAAAATATCTCAAACTGTACGGCAGTTAGGATTTTTGTTGTAAGCCTCCGCTCGGTGAAGTAACTTAAAACTTTCATATTTTAAATTATATTTCACTTAGGCCCTGAAGGTTCCTATATTAAACATTAAAAATTGTATTAAGATAAGATTGATCAAAGACTTGACTTACTTACAGTACCATTTATTTTTCTTCAGGTCAAGTTTTCTTTATTCTTATATAATTTATTAGTTATTGAGGCCCATGAGGTTATTTGCCCCATGAGAAAAAGTACACATGCCCCAAACAGGTTTTAACACAGGGTAAGTGTACCCTAACTCCCCAAAATTGACTTTTTAGGGCTATAACAATGTTACTGTATTTTTGAATTCCCCTTAAAAAATTAAGTAAGATCACCAAATTGTTTGATAGTTATCCTTGTACTTCAATTTTTAGTAATGTTTTTTTTTTATTTTCCGAGGTGCACTTGCGTTTTGAGTAGAAATGTAAGAGGTTTTTAAACACGCCTAAGCTCATAGAAATAGTAACAAGAGAATTTTATAGTGATCATAATTTAAAAGGGCATAGTTTGAAGTATCTTAGGCCAAGTTTTCATATTTTTTATAAATAAACAAATTTATTATTAGCTGGAAGTCCACTTGCCCCGGGCGTACACTTGCCCCACATGACCTTATCTTCAGCAGTCGTATGGACATGACTATCGTCTCTCACGGTAATGGAAACTCATCATCGTTTTCCGCGATTATGGCAAAATCTTCAATATCTTCCTTGGTCTTCATCATCGTCTCCCATGGTCACGGAAACAATGTAAACTATTTCCGCGATTTCGGAAAAATCTTCAATGTCTTCCTCGGTCTTATAGACATCATCTTCGTCGCCCGTGGTCAAGGATCATCATAACCGTCCTCCTCAATCGTGGCAAAAGCGTGAATTTTTCGATCACGAAATCTTCGTAGACATGTTCTGGGATCACAAAAGTAAACAATTGGCTCGACTCTGCCTATTTGTTCGTAAAATGCACAAGTTCGATGGTAATCAGATTATCCGAATGTAGTACAATCTCAATTGATTTGGATGATTGGAGTTCTACTGAAACATCATGATACATAACCTAAAAACTAACTGAAGAAAAACTATAGTGGTCATATGTTATTTCAAGTTATATTCATGTCTTATTCTATTCTAACATTACCTCCTTCACCATAGTACAAGAGAGTATCCAAGTACTGGGAATTGAGTTCTTCTTCAAGTGCTCTCACTTCTAAACAAAGAGTTGAAAACACGATGATAACCTTGTTTAGTATTTTGTTGTTTGTGTCTACTAGATCAGTAACTGGACCACTTTCTTCAGGTTCAATCTACAGAGAAGAGACATTGTTTACAATTAATGTACAAATACAGCCAAAGACAATACAAATAAAGTTCGTGCCAAAGGCTGCATAAACAAACAGTACAAACAAACAGTACAAACCAACCCCCAAACCCCCTTCCCATTGTAGGAGCGAATTGGTTTACAAACTACTTAAATAAGTTATTGGTTTACACGTTTGATTGAGTAATAAAATGTATTTGTTATTTTAAGAGCTATCCTGACTATATTTACACATACGTTAACATTTAAAATACAGTGGTCCTGATCCTAGGTTTTAATAGCAATAGGCCCTACAAAAGTATTAGTTATATTCATAATCCCAAAATCCCAATCGTAAATTTGTACTAAAACATATGTATCACTATAAGATATATTGGGAGATAAGTCTACATTTGTATCATATGTCATTCCCTGTTTTTGTTATATTCAGACCTATAAAACCTCGGTAACTCCTCCAACAATCCGGCTTGTCAGAATGTAATGGCAGAATGTACTGTACTTAAATGCAAAATTACAACCATTAATTTAATAACTGTTCCTTAAGCTATCTAATTATTGTATTGCAGGTAGACCTACAGTAATTATTCACACACAATTCTGCACTACTATACTACTGGCAAAAGGCAGCAAACCATTGGGACAAAACATAGGCACACTTGCCACCCGCTTATAACAAGCTCATTAAACATGTAATTTCTCCTAGACTGCAACTATCATTGTTGTTATTATTTTTTGTCACAATAATGTCACTATTGTTAGTCTTAACTCTTCACTCAAATAAATAACATGTGCTATTGCAAACCATCTGTTTGTTATTGAATTGTAGCCATTTGATGATTTTAGAGCTACAAAATTTTGTTATAGTGTAAATCTTCTGTTGTTTGACCGCAATTTAACGCTTGAAGATTTAAAAATGGTCTTTCAATGGTCAAGTGGCCGCCTTTTTAGGCGAGATAATTGAGGTTTTACTGTACATTTCAATATCAACAACAATTGTAGATTGCTAAATTAGGTACCTAATCCACAACAAGAGTTCCTCCAATATAACCCTTTTTTTTATTTTTATTACACACCAAGTAGTAAAACCTGCCAATAAACACAGTTTTTATTTACACATGTCCATGAATGTCCTATTACTTACCTGAATTTGAACAGGGTAAAACTTTAGTTCATTATTCACGGATACTACTTCTTGAATGGCTTGAAGTTGTGAACTATACTCTTCTAAAAAGTTCCCATATGTTTGCAAAACAAGCTCTCCAGCATGTCCTAAAAGAATCAAAACAATTACAGTAATCGAAAACCTCAATCGATTGATCTTGTATTTAAAAATGGTATTTTCATTAAAGCCTTTGCATATTTTGTGACATATGTCCATTATATGCATCTAATTGTCTCTTGGGTCTTTCTCATCTATTGAACTTTGTTGACAACATTGAAATGAAGAGATTATTTTAGACTCCTTGAAGGCCTGATGATAGTTCAAGCTAAGAATCAAAACTAGTAGCAGCCACAGCAATCAAGGGTACTGCAGGTTCAGTACTTGAACCATTTTTAAAGTTAACCCTACTTCAGCCTACATTGAAGGTAATCACGTAAAGTTTGAGATTATTGTTTTATATGGTGAATAAATGCTTGTTTCAACCAATACCCGATACAGTACCTACAGTCTGTTTGCTTAGCGAGTGTGGCATTACTTGCTCCTACCGACCCTACTCACACACTCGCAGGCCTCACAAACATAGACACCAGGGATTAGGTTAGGATTGACCTATGAGTCATCACTGGCTTACAGAAGTTTGACTATCACTTTTATTTTACATTTGTTATAAAGTCTATTGGTTCTTTTGACTTCAGCTGAAAATGATACAAACAAATATTTATTTTGCTTAACTAATCTAGAAGTTACAAACATTTCCATCCCAACCCCCTTAAACAATTTCTTGTCATACGGTTATCATTTTGTGTTTGGGCAATTTGAAAATTCCATCTGATTCTTCAGCTTTTTAGTTAAATTTTTTATTGAACCAAAAATGTAATAACACAAAGCATTTGATTGCTTATTTAATTTCATATAAAATTAAATTGAGGCATCATACAACAGGTGTTATAATTAATTCTAGGTAGTAAAGGGGATTAAGGCTTTTAGGCAATTAGGATAGTGGAGAGTTTGTGTGCATGAGTAGGTCCCTTGCAGTTAGGAACGAACTCCAACCGCCTTCCCTAATAGGGTATTATGATTATAGTCTTTACAGAAGTACAATTATATTAATATATATAATATTTACAATTTATATAAAAGTATACGATGGCCTCAAATATGTACAGTACACTACTGTGTTACTATACCGACCACACCCCTGTTTGGAATGAATGGTTACTTTATTTTTATAAAGCAGTCTTTAGTCAACAAAAATCTAGTATTTCTTGATCACAACCCATTTCTTCTCCTAAGTCAAGGTACGATAATTATTATAGGCTAGCTGTCCAATCCGCAAACTAATGATGCGGATCGTCGATGCGGGTTTCGTTGTTTACTAGACATTGCAAGGTGTAAGGCCTACTTCATGCGTCCTTTGCTGTAAGCTGTTGTTGTTTCTTTGTTGAATTTTTGCGGTGACGAATGATCTAGGCCTAATATTAATTAAGGATTTGCCAAGGAATGAAGAGGAGAGGGGTTCAAATTTTAATTTTACAGAAAAAAAGAGTTATAGCCAAAATCAAAGCAGTGCAAGAATGGAAGAAATGACTGTGCTCTTTTGATAACACTCTGTTTTTGAAATGTAAGACCAGGCGTTGAAGAAGACGGTTTGTGTATTGATAGGCCCTATCCAGAATTGGTAAATACCATTTTACCACTAACGTCTGTGATCTGGTACCAGAGAACCCACCAATTACAGGTTTTTTACTGTGTTTTTGCCAAAAAAGTTTATATTTTAATCCTGCAACTACAGGTGAATTAGACTTTTTCCACCTGTATCGGTGTAATTGGTAAATCTAAAAGTTCAGAATCAAAGTGTAGCTTTCTATTTCAGGCCCAAAAGTACAGGGCCCCTTTGACCAGATTGAAATAGCTGAACTAACAACCTTAATGTGATTTTAGGTTAAGCGATGGATACAAATAAAGCAATTTTCTGATTAAAAACACTCAAAGTACAGAAATTTAAGATGACATAACCTTTTTAATGAGGATAAGAATAGCCTAACCGAGAGAAAATGTGCTTTGAGTTAAGATTTACTCAGTCAAATACCAGACCTTGGTTAGCAATGTTTTCCTGTTATTCTCCAGGGCCTACACATAGTTTTTATTTATTTCATAGTATTTTTTATCTACGCAAAACAACTTCATGAACTAAAATGGAATTGTTTTAATTGCATGCAAAAGATTTATTTATTTATTTATTTACGGCAAAATCGCCATTTGTACAATCAATTACATGCATAACAATTTGTGGATCAATAAATACTATTAACATGCTGTAAGTTTTACATCTTGCTATTTGGTTATGCTTTATGAGTAGGCCTACATGCTAACACCACTAACACTAATGATTCGCAACTGAGTAATGAAAAATGAAAAACAAATATATATACTATGAACATACAACATCGGCAAACAAGGGAGGAAAAAACATGCAATGGTCTTAAAATTGAACTAACATTAACAGCCTGCTTCACTAAATACAGGATCGAAAAGGAAAACATAAAAAATTTGAATATTTGACAGTGCAATAAAATATAAAAACTTAACAATAACAAGTATGAACAATGAGAGTGTGACAATGATTGATTGTGACTTAAGTGCTAATGGTGAATGTAGCAACATTGGGAGGAACATGAACCGAGATGAAAGGTTATCAAAAATGAATTGAGAATTTAACAGTGCAAATATAAATTATTAAAGAAAACTTAACAATAACAAGAAGGCAAAAAAGGGGGATCGTTTGACAATGATTGGACTAGAATAAAAAGATGGCTTATATAATGAAACTAGGAGAACATGTGGTAATGGAGGAAAACAAGTGGTTAAAGAGCACGACACTAACCCCAATACTCTGCTTTCACCCCCCTCACACACAACACAGCGCAGAAACAAGAAGGGGAAAAGGAAGCTATCTTCAATTGGAGAAGATCCTCTTCAGTGCAGAATCACTGTCATTAAAGAAGTCATAATCGTGATGCTGAGTTAGAGTATTCCCCTGACGATGAAGTCTTGGAACAGGACTGTGAAATCCGTAGCTGGTTGAACACTGATGTCGGTGGAACAACTCCTGGGTCCGAGTAGCCGTGGGGATTCGAAACGTGATAAGATCAAGTAACTCAGGACAATCGATCATATTGGTGAGAAGTCTTTTCAGGAAGAGGGCATCGATCATCTTTCTTCTAGAGGTGTCAGCTTCAGGTAGTTTTGCTACATCATCGATAGGGACGGTAGAATAGTTGAATCCCAATTTAACACCAATTATTTTAATGAACCTTCTTTGAATTTTTTCGAGTCTATCTTTGTGTCCAGTTTGATATGGGGACCATACTAAGCTAGCATATTCCAACACAGGTCGTACAAGTAAGGTGTACAAAATCCTAAGAGCTTCGGTGTTGATACCATCTCTGGACGCACGGATGATGAAACCCAAAAGCTTTGATGATCTAGTGCAAACTGAGTCTATGTGCAGATCTGGACTGAGGTTGGATGTCAAAATCACTCCAAGATCCTTTATTGTTACTTTTCTCTCTAGTATAGTGTCGTGTAGCATGTAATTCCAGAGGATTGGTTTTATGCCCCTTGAGAAAGTAATAGTAGCACATTTTCTTTCATTCATAGTCATTGCATTATGTTTGCACCACATCTCAATATTGTGTAAACTGTGTTGAAGGTTTTCACAATCGTGTTCATCTCGTATCACACAATAGACCTTAATGTAGTCAGCAAATAGTAGGCATTCAACATCTATTAATTTAACAAGGTCATTGATAAAGATATTGAATAAAAAAAGGTCCCAGATGGGATCCTTGCGGTACACCTGAACTTGCTAAAAAGGGTCTAGAGAGTGATCCTCTGAATTTCACTATGAGAGTACGACCGGAGATGTAGGAATTAAACCAGTTGAGAAGATTGCCATGTATACCACAATTGTTGAGTTTATGCAATAGGAGCTCGTGATTAACACTGTCGAAGGCTTTTTTGAAGTCAATATAAATGCTGTCAACCTGATATTTTTGGGCAAAAGACTTCATGATAAAGTTTTCATATAACACAAGATTGGTGACCGTGGATCATCCGGCGAGAAAGCCATGCTGTTCCTTTGTGAATACATTTTTGAAGGGAAATGCGAGCTGATCAAGAACAAGACTCTCAAACACTTTACTCAAAGTTGGTTGAATCACAATTGGTCTGTAGTTCTGAACATTGGACTTGCTGTCAGATTTATAAACAGGTATGACATAGGTAGTCTTAAGAATGTCAGGGAAAATTCCTTTTTCTAAAAGTTTGTTAAAGAGAACCGTGAGATTCAAACTTCATTAGGCCTATATTAAATCAGATAAGTTCCAGCCATTATAAGAATCAACACCTTGAAAATAATGGCTATCCTATACTTAGCTCGATCTATCCTAGGCTAGAGAAGGGTAAACACATTTGAATTTGATCAGACAGATAAATGTATATGGTAGGCTACATGCATGTAAAACTGTTCTAAAAATTAAATGTTATGGGCAGGCTATTCCTATTTGGAGGTTCACATTGGTGTTTTTCTTAACGTAAGGTGTAAATACGATATGATTTATGTCCCGGACGTTTATTATAGTATACACATTAAAGCAAAGGACCTGTGGAGGTAACTTACATGTCTAAGTTTTATTGCTATCAATCCTTATCATTCCTTGTCATGTATATAGCAAGATGAACACAGATTAAGTATTTACCTACAAGCTAGAAAAAAAAGCACTATGAAGATCCTAGAAATAGAACAAGGATTTGGTCTTCTGCATCCAGTAATGAAAGTGAGTACCGGTAGTAGTGTTAATGTTTCTACATACGTTTTACATAATGTAATTAATCCACAATAATCGGCAAACCCTTAATATCAAATTACGTGTTTAATTTTTAAATTCCACATGGGAAAGTCAGATGGAAAATAGCTTTGGAAGCCAATTTAAATGCAGGGATAGGTTTGGTAAGTAATTTATTTTATCTGCGCTAAGTTATAAACTTATTGAAGTTCACAGCCTGGCCACAAGCTGACATAAATATGCCAGACTTACAATAGCATCAAGTTACAAATAAACTGTGGCATTTTTATGGTGTCAAAATCCCTTATTGGCGTTACCGTAGCGACCAATCATTTTTATGACTAGGCTAGTTGAAGTAGGCTACAGCTAAGTTAATGGTAGGCTATTGTTCAACGAAAATGCTGTTTAGATCAAGCAAATGTATTGAAGATTTAATGTAAAACATTCTAACAGCAAACGATGTTTGGCATTTTAAAATTGCTGATTAAGCTTAATTCAATTTAAATCAAAACAACAACATAAATTTAATTTCTAGCCTGTCTTAAAAATATTAAAGCAAGGCCTATTTATTCGCAACAATATGGTGTATTTTATGAACATTAAAATGCTCTACATTATGTTTCAGCCTTTCGTTAAATGATGTTTCGTTTACATAATTAACAACTTAGGCATTATAAAAGATAACTCTAAACCTAACTAGTATGTCTTAACTCACTGTGAAGTCCTTCCTGAATCGGTTTCTTTTCCCATTCCTCATCGTCCCACATCGTTGGGTTGGTTTTTAACTAAAATATTTATCTCGCGCAGGAGGAATACTGTATTTGAAATTAATGCATTATATTATTAATTACTTACACCTAATTAATTGTCTCTCAAACAAATCAGTTAGTTTTACTTAACAGGTTATGTTATGTCATAGTCATATTGTTATTATTGAATTGGTTGGTGAGGTGAACAAGAAGAACAACGTTACTACAACACCAGAGTAGGTGAGCTATATGTAGACATCATGCAACTTAGCAAAAATAAACTCATGTTCAAAAACTGAGAGCATAGATTTCAAAGTACTCCCAAAAATATTTTTATTATTAATCTATAGGGACAAGTTTTATATACTATACTCGCCATTCTCAGTAACACTTAAACACACAAAATTTTGTAAATAGCTTAGAAAAGGATGAATAGCTTATAAATGATCAAATGCTATGAGGTGATTTCGTAACAGACTGATGAGTTATATGCTATACAGTATTTTATTCAGAACAAATTGTATTATAGAATGAACTGAATGAATTAATCCATTGATCCGAATTGTAAAACCATGTCACACCATGCGATTTTTTAAAATTTCCAGACAACAAAATAAGCCTAGCAATTTCGTGTAGAATGGTGGATGTTGTGTGGTAGGTGAATCATACCTCAAGAATCAGGATTGTCAGAGGCCTACAATAATCGTAGTGCTTGGTTACGATACCCGGATAACCCTTAGTTTTCTTACGTTTGGTTAATACAAGGATCGTAAACTAGTGTCTAATTTTAGGTTATTCAACTAATTCGTCGTTTTGTATCCATAAGTTGCCATTCCTCTATTTTACCACCTTTATGTATGTTGTATATATTTACTAAATGATTGTTTCAACACCCTTATATTCGTTAAAAATTGTTAATGTTAGGCTTAGGTAGACCTATTTGGATACTTACTTCAGCAACGTGGTTTCAGCAACGTGGTTGAAGTAAGTATCCAAGTAGGTCTACCTAAGCCTAACAACATGAACTATTTTTTACAACATAATACAGACAGACCTATAGACCTTTACATACCTGAATAGACAGTTGTTTTTAAAGGTAGAATAAAAGTGGAAACAACAGTGAGGGATTGGTCGTACCAGAAACAAGGAAGACATGATATGACATAGATAAAACATACTCCTCAAAGAGTATGTTTAATCTATGGTTATGATTAGGACTGACTGAGGAAAAAGTACATTGTTAAGGTCGATTCACACACATCAGTCCAGTCACAGTTCCGTTACAGTCCAGTTGCAGTCCAGTTACAGTCCAGTCACAGTTGCATCCGCAATTTCTCAGTCAATTGTCTGTCGTTTGGTTTCAGTCAGTCTTCCGTCTCTAAAATTCACAGTAATTTATAGTCAAAATTTTAAAGTTATAAACCTAAATTCTATCAAATTATCATTGTCCATATTGTTGATTGTTACAAACAGTACTCAAAATACAAATGCAACCATTTAAATAGCAATAACACTATTTTCTAACCTCAAACAGTTCCGTCAGGCGTCCGAACAATCAAGTATCGTTGGAAAGAAATCTGAAATTGACTGACAGATGCCAGCAGAGTGACTGACGGGACTGCAACGGATGAGTGTAGATAGCGCAATAGAAAATCCATCAAAGAATATTTTTGTTAACTGTGACGTGCCTGAAGTGACTTCACTGTGACGTGCCGTAACTGGGGCCCTATTTTTGAAATGGTTGACTGTTGAGTTGAGTGTCGAGTCATTCTATTTCCAATCGTTTCGTATTTTTGAAACGATTGACGGTGGACTTATACAACCAAAACTACTCAACACCTATCGAGCTGTTGAGTGGAGGTTGACTGCACTTTCTTCTTCCTCTCTTTCGGCAAAAATTACTCTTTTTGAGTCGACGCCATATTTTTTTGTTATTGCTTTAATTTACTAATTGCGATTTAGAGGTTATGTATTTGTTGTCAATGTATTAGCACCCAATACTTTATGCGATTGTTTTCTGTAGAATGATTGCATCTTAATTTTATTATTACTGTGTCAATACTAGACTATTTAATCAAGGATTTTATCCTTGTTGATATGTTTGAAATAGGCTAGGCATACTAATTAAACTTATTATAAGATAATTATTGTTATTAGACCTTTAAGGAATTAAAGATTGTGGTAGAGAGAAACAATATCATAGTTTGTTTCAATACCATTCACCTAATAAAGGGATCAAATTAATTTAAGTTAGATATGCTTTCAGTGCAATGGCAAATAGCCGCTTTAACCTTTAACCTAAATAAAAACACAATTAAAAATAACATAAAAAAACCGATGAAGGAAACTAAAATAAGGTGATGTGTTTCGAAATAGAGACGAAGAAAGCAAATAATAATGTATTTAGGATATGCCTAAACTTATAATTAGCTACACCCTAAAACAAACATCCATAGTAAATTTTATTTTTAATACTTAAGTTTATTTTATAGGTTAAGGTACTTTTGCAATCACTAAGATTGAAGGTTAAGCAAGACATAACCTCAATCTCTCAAGAACGGAGTTGACAGTTTACCCCAGTGTCTCGAAATATGGTAGAGGTAGATTGAGATTAGCTGCCAAATTTTAGAGTAAGAAGAGGTTAAATGGAAGATCGCAAGAACTCTGCATTGTGTGTGATTGGTTCAAAATGACGTCATCTGAATTTCGGGCGGTCGTATGCTCTACATTTCCACCTCGAGTCACTCAACTAGTGATTCCCAACTCGCTTCCCAACTGTTGGGTTTCAAAAATACCAAATCCTGTTGTTGGTTGAGTTGAGTGCTGACGATTGACTCAACTGTCAACCATTTCAAAAATAGGGCCCCTGATGTGTGTGAATCGACCTTTAATTGTTATCTATCATCAGTTTTCCCCGTGAGTTGAAGGCAAACCCTCATTTCTGGCCTTTGCAGCAAGCTATACACTTTTGTAAAATGCGATGTTTTCCAAATAAATAAAGTTAGATTATAAATCATTAACGGCAATTATTGCTTTATTTAATTATTGATATCAACCGAGATTAGTAATATTTTCACGGCTTTGACCTGTAACTGTGATAAATTTTAACCACAAATTTACTGTTAAAAACTACATAGTGGCTTTAGTTGGTTATTTAAATTAGTAAACATAAATAAATAAAATAATCATTAGTTATAGTATAGCTAAAGTGATAAAGCAACAGTTGGTGGCATAGAAGTTGGTAAACCCTGCTTCATCTATGACTACTACACTGTGTCTGACGTCTGTGTCTGTGTCCTTTCGACCTTCATCTTCAGACGACGCAACTGTCATCCTTGTTCCTCTGAATTGTTTTGAATTAATTATTTGAAGGTAAGTGAACGATTAGTTCTAATTTTTAAAATTGTGATTCCACTAAGGTATTTTTATGGAATTAAACTAGTTTTACGATTAGTCATTTGTTCTTTCAACGGTTTACTTGTAAGCTGTGAAATAACCTCACTTCATTACATCATATTGGATAAGTGTTTATCATTAAAGTAACCTTATTTCAGATAAATTTATATTATTTATGAATTCCATTCATAGTAACTGCATCTAGCATTGGGGAAAATAAATAGCGCATAACCATGAATTGTTTTTTAAAATTTATATTGCATCATAACAATATAAATATATTGTTAGTCTTTCTAGAATATAGGTAGTCTTTTATTAGTTAGGTTATGTTTTAGTTAGTTATGAAGAAAATGACAATGACATCAACTCATCTCATCAAATCATTGATTAATTTTCAAGGATGAAGAGAGAGCTGGACACAGTTTTTATCCTCTGGTTTCATTTACCTACTACATATTTTACAAGGCGGGTTTGGGTCGGTTTTGTTACCTAAAATATTCAATTAATTGTTGTCGTTGAAGCACGGTCTCTTGGTAGCAGCATCAAATCTAGGATTAGATTCCGGCCCATGGCGGTGGAGGGGGGGGGGTTCAATAATGCCATGACAAAGACATTTTAAAATTTCAAAGGAGTAAGTTAAATGTGTGTAACACAACCCTTTTAAGGCTTTTAATACATAGCTTGTATTACAATTTAAAAAAAGTAGAATAAATAAGCTGGATATATAAATGATCGATGATGCAATAGTTTCTGCCCATGTTATCATCCTTTTTATTTGGAGGATCCTGGTTAAGTCTTGCGATTGAGTTTTTAAAGTCAATTATTAGTTTAAAGGTTGATTGAAAACAACGTAAATAATGGTGATGGAATAAATTTCACACTATAGTTCGGCCGCTTAGAAAACGACCTGCGCGCTAATGCTAAACCAATGCTGGAGGAGGTCGCTTTCTAAGCGGCCGAACTATAGTTTCTATGTTGTATTGTTGTACTTGGATTCAAAATTTGGAGCTTCAGTTTGTAGTACTTGGACTTTCTAGGAAGTGTTTGCCACTTGTATTTTTTACTATCATCGCTTGACGCCCCTTGTATGTCCTAGACCTTAGCCTAGGGTGACATAGTAGATAATTGATCCTGTATGCAATAGTAATGCATACTCAGCAAAAACCGATCATCCTTCTTTGGCGGATGTTATATCCTCCAAAATAATTGTGTCACTAAAAACGATAACCTCCAATGCAAATCCTACAGTACTCTTCTGCATTATCAGATTCACTACTAGGCCGCAGCATATGAGGTCGCAAGCAAATGGGACCACAGCCTTTTTTGCAAAATCAATTAATTTTATAATCGGCCTTGACACCTTTAATATTTTTACCATAGGTAACATTTTACTTACTTTTGGCTGAAGGTGTCAAATTTAGTTCATGCTGTACACGTTTCGAGCTTCTTACGGCTCATTTTCAGCAGCATTCTCGTAGTTAAAATATCACAATGAACGATGTTTGTCGACTACAGTATTTACAGTTTATATACACACACACACAGAAATAAACATGGAACACTTTTTGCAATTGCAAGTATTTACACGTCTTTGCGTACACGCGGTTAGATAACCTCAACCAGACGACATTTGTGTGTGTATATGAACTGTAAATAGACAAACATCGTTCGATGTGATATTTTAAACACAAGAATGCTGCTGGAGATGAGTTGTAAGTAGCTCGAAACATGTACAGCATGTAAATTTCACACCTTCAGGCA